TTTTGCATGAGGGATTCAATTTCACTATTTATGGCTTTTTTCTATAAAAGAGATTCGAAAGAAAACATAGCTTCCTTATAGCTTTGTGGCTCATTCTCCAATATATATGTCAAAAAATCAAGACCAATTGACTTATACGTTCTAACTCTTTTGCTACGTCTAGGTTCTTCCTTGTTTTCATCATCTATAGACTCTTGGTCTATATTCTCTTGTATATTGCTATTAGCAATATCATGATTTCTTTTAAGAAGATTTTTATAAGGAAATATATTCTCAAAGAAACAAGCATTCCTTGACTCAATAATTGTATTGACATGGATGTCAAGAATGTTTGATTTATGAACAATGAAACAGTATGCATTACTATTCTGTGCATAGCCTATGAAAATACCATCAAAGGTTTTTGGTCCTATCTTAACTTTATTAGGAGTAGGAACCACAAGCTTAGCTAGACAGCCCCACATTTTAAAGAATTTTTAGGAAGGTTTTTGACCTTTCCATAATTCATAAAGTGTCACATTTGTTTTCTTTTGAGGTATTTTGTTGAGAACATAATTAGCATAAAGCAAAGCTTCCCCCCACAAATTCTGGGTTAAACCAGAACTTATCAACGTATCATTCATCATTTCTTTTAAGGTACGGATTTTGCGTTCAACAACACCGTGCTATTGAGGTGAATAAGGAACGGTAGTTTGGTGAATAATACCATGTTCTGAGCAAATGTTAGCGAATGGTGATTCGTATTCACCACCTCTACCACTTTTAAACACCTTTATCTTCTTGCCAAGTTGATTCTCAACCTCATTCTTGTAATGTTTAAACATTTTCAAGGCTTCATCTTTGTTTCTTAACAAGTATACATAACAATATTTCGTGCAATCATCAATAAAAGTAATGAAATACTTTTTCCGACATCTGGTTGGCACAGATTTAAAGTCACAGATATCACTGTGAATTAATGCTAGAGATTCAATACTTCGCTCTATAGAGTGAAATGAGGTTCTAGTCAATTTTGCTTCTACATATGTTTTATATTTTTTATTTAAATCAATACTAAATTTAGGTATAGAATCATGTTAATTAATTTACGAATCGTATCATAATTAACATGTCCTAATTTACCATGCCACACATCAGATGACTAAATCATATAAGTTGAAGAAGCATTGGCTTTTCAATGATTAAAGCTACTTCAAAAGATTCACTTAAAGTAATCTTCTCAGCATGTAACTCATGTAGGGTCAGCTGGAGCTCCTGCACTTGGCTCATGATTTTCTTGGAGTTTATCATTTTGAAATCCAAAAATCGTCCGATCACAAACTTCTTCAAGCTAGCATCCTCAGTTTTATATTTTTTGTCTATTGACTCCCATAGCTCTTTAGCAGTGTTCATTGGACTGTACACATTATATAGAGTGTTGTTCAATCCATTGAGGATGTAGTTCCTGCATAGGAAGTCTCCATGCTTCCATGCATCAACAGCTCCTAGCTTTGTAATGTTAGTTTCTCCCTTTTCTAGCACTGAGCCAGTTTCAGCTAGGTACTTGTTCAGATTTAGAATTTGTAAGATTGAACATCATTTTCTGTTGCCACCTTTTAAACTCCTTCCCATTAAATTTTTCGGGCTTTTCCCCGCGACTGACGGAAACATTAGGCATAGTAGTACTTGAACTGGCCGTTCGTCTGATATATATTAAATATATAGACCACAGTCAAATTTACAGAAATAAAATAAACAACAATATTTAAATAATTAAACTATAGTATAAAACGAATCTATCTTAAGATTGTACTCCAAAAATATGGTCTAAGTATACCATACACCATAGTATTACTATTTAAATATTATGCATAAATATAATGTGTGTATATATATAATTATTATTATAAAATAATAATCTATATATATAATAGCTTATACAATAAAATAAAACAAAACCACTATGGTGCTAACGGACTCAGTAACGTCTATCTCCCAGTATACAACAATTTTTACTTTATTCAGTAGTAGCACTACAAACTAAAGGAATAGGTGAACCTGCTCGGTGTAGTACTCTCTGACTTGAACTCGGACTCGGAGTGACTGACTAAATTTGGACTAGAAGTGATTGACTAAGACTCAAACCCAAAGACAAGGGCTCGTACCCACAGACACTTATAGAAAAGAAAAAGGAGAGAATTCAGAATTAGAGAAGAGTATTCTGAATTGGAGTGCTTTGGAATGAACCTAGGGGAGGGGGGTTTATATAGGCCTCATGGTGTCTTTAGGTTTTAATATTTTTTCGATATGGGACAAACACTTCTTACATTTTGCAAACTCATTTAGGCTTATTAAACACTTTACTTTGTAGCTAATTTCGCATTCACCCAGAAATGGATTCGAGAAAGTAAATATATCACGTTCATCTCATTGAGGAGAGGAACGCGCTCGTCTATAGATCCGCAAACAATTCTTATCCGAATCTATTCAAAATCTTAACTAACGTTTATGGTTTTAATGCCCCTGTTTCCAACAATTTATGTAATATGCGATCAATCTATCGTGTCTATTATCGTCATATCATGTCTCATTAAATTGTTTCACCTAATAATAGAAAAATATAAAGTAAATAAATATGGTGTTTCCATATGAAATATATATGTCTAATTGAACGGTCCACCTTACAAAGATTTTCTTGTTACATCTAATAATAGAAAATATAAAGTAAATTAAACTGGTGTTTTTATATAAAATCTATGTGTCTAATTGAACGGTCCATCATACAAAGATGATGATATGTTTTTTTCTAATTATAAGCTTTTATCCATTCTATATATTAACTCAAATAAAATAAAAAAGTGGTTTTAACAGTAAGGAAAAATAAACTATTCAAGACCATAATAAATGCTTTAATATTTAACGCACAAAAAAAAAAATACACATAAGCCAACATAATAGAAGAATTTTTATTAACTAAAAGAGAGAGAAAAAAACTAAATTATAAAGTATAAATTTTCCACTCACTTATAAATTTTATCCCCCTTTATTTGAAATTAGTACTGTATGTTGTTCGACTGGATACGTCAATGATATAAACATAATTAGGTTAGTATTTTAAAAAATAATAGATTTAAGGTTCATGCATAAAAAGAGATTGACGAAGCTTTCATGTCTCATTGAATTGTTCCACATATAAGTAAGCATAAAGTAAATTAAGATGATGATGAAAATTCTAGAAAAAAAAATTCCAAAGTTAATCATTAATGATATGGAAAAGAAAATGATAAGTTGAAATTAGGAAAATAAAATCAGAACTCTCATAATTAAAAATAGGTGATAAATTTGTACCACTTAAGTAGAGTATTCAGCGACTCACAAAATAAAAAAATCACGAATAAAGAATTTTGTTGATTGAAATGAGGTATGATACTTTTTAAAAAATAAAAATAAATGTCTAATTTTGTAAAAGAGTGACAAAGGAAAATAGAGAAATAAAAAGTGTCAAGCGAAAAAAAAACAACACGATGTATCGTGATAGTATTACAATATCAATTAATAGGCTAACATCCACTAAATTGATTAATATTTAGATTTTTTTTGAAGTTATTTATATTTTAAATATCAAGAAAAATGGATGCTTCCTATAAGCACGCGAATATATATAGTAATAAGAAATCAATAAAATGAATAATTAACGTTGATTTTTATACATTTTCGACCTTTTGATTATAACAACAATTCCAAGTGCATCGTGTTAGACTTTTTTTAGATTTTGAAGGAAGATATAAATGGTTTTAAGAAAAGATAAAGAGATAGCGTTTGATAACATGAAGGTTTAGAAAGGAAGAATGAACTAATTAAAAAATGGTTATTTTTCTTTTAAAAGGAAAATTTTATGCCCAACCCTCTGTGTTTTAAATTAAATATATAAAACTACAATGTAGTATGAAAAACGAAAAGTAAAAAAGTGTTCAACAACTATTTTAGACAACTCTAATACAAAATTATATATATTAAAATAATTTTAAATTAAATCAATTGTGTTTTATTGTATAATCTATCGCAAGGTTTAGAAAGGAACAAGGAATTAACTTTAAACCAACCAATTGTTTTTTTTTTTTTTGAGAAAAAAATAAATTTATTTCCCAATCAATGCCCTTGTATTTTAAAGTGAATATACATTCCTAAAAGGGTTTAAAGTAAGAATGTGCTTTTAGTTGGGCCTAGATGGTTAAAAATTAGAACGTAAAATAGATTTTTGATTTTTAAAATTTGCATTACTAACTCACCATTATTGAATGCTAACCAACATTTTTTAGTGTGTTTACTTAACGTGATTGATACTAAAAGTTGTATAATTATAATATATCACGTTTTTCTAAACAAAATGACTTTGTGATCTTCATCCAAATGGATATGTATAATTCACATAAAAAAAAATTGTATTAGTTATCTTAAAAGACATAATTACCTAACATTATGAATTGAAGTGTTAATTATCTTAAAATACATGAGTTTTAATGAAAACAAGAGAACTAAACTTTATAGATTTATATGTTTTTCCAGAGCGGCCAATAAATGTTCTAAGCAACTAAAATTAACCATAAAAAAACTTTTGTATAATGAAATCTAAATTTTTCTATTTAAGAAGAACACTTTGGAGTAAAATTATAAACAACTTTTTAGTTTCTGATTCAATTTTTTAAAAATTATTTTATAAAAATTCAATTATAAAAATATTTATTTTCAAATAATTATAAAAAATTATTATCCAAAAACAAAATTTTGAAAACTCTATCAACTATGTAGCAATTGTGAAAATGCAGGCAGCAGTTGTGAAATGCATTTATATAAAAAAATATCTGACACTCTCAAAATTAATAAAAGCAAAAAGTCGAAGTCTAACACTCTTAAAATTCAACGAAACACCGGCTATCGAGGCATATGCGTCTTACACACACACACATATATAGGACTCACATACATACATAGACATCGGACACATATATATATATATAGGACTCAGTCAAGTGAGAGGAGACTGAGTGAGGACTCGCAGAATCGTTTTCAACGTACAGAGATGTCTTCACTATCGTCATTCGCCGCCGTAGCCGCACCTTCGTCTTCTCTCAGAAGAGTCTGCTCTCCATCCCGTCAAAACCTGCATTTTCAGCAGCTTTCTAACACTCGGTTAGCTTTCTCTCCCTCTATGCATATACATATATATGTGTATCATTCAGGACTCACTTCGTCTCTCGATGTTCGCACGAAATGTTCTTTTCGATTTGTGATTTTGAAGAGCTGGTCTTCTTCGGATTTGGCGTAACTTTGATTTCATTTGTTGTGTATAGTCAAGTCTTGATGCATTTATCTGCAATTACTTATCAATTTTTAATTTTTTTGTTCTAGCCGTACAATTTGTTGATGAGTGGTTATAGAGGAGAGAAATTCCAATGATTCGATTCACCGAGAAAGTATGACCTCATTAGGCGCACGACATATTCACTGAGCTTGTGGTTTTTAAAGACGATTTACCTATAAATTTGACTAAATTTCAATTTAGTGAATCTAAAAGTTCTAGACATATGATTTTGAATATTTGGTCTTGGTTGTTTCAATGAGTTGCACAATTTCATGCCGGGCAGAAAATATTATGTGCTGGAAAGTTGATTTATGTCGAATTGGGATTATTTCAAATAATCAAGAACAATGACCATGTTGGTAAAAGATTTATATATATATTAACTGACTTCAATTGCAAAAAGAAACTGGAACATATTGAGTTCATATCGAGTTATTTTAGATATATCTGGGATAAATGATTTACATGCATGCATAATTCAATCATACTACTTCTTTTGTACATATACTCTAACCACCAGCTATCTAGCTCAGGTGACATCTCCTTCTCTTGCCCTAGAGAAAGGTGCAGGTTTAAATCCAAGTGGATGGAAATGTGATTGTGGGAATTACGGATAAAGGTTAATGGAGGTCTACCTCCCTTTCTATAGCTCACACCATTGGATTTAATAAGGAGAGACAGAAGGGGAAGAAGGAAAAGGGGGGTTAAGTTGTTCTATGGGATAGCAATGGAATGGTGGTCAAAGGCCATTGTCGAATAATATTATCAACAGTGCCGGGTGCTGCAAGTGGTGGCAAACAGAGGCTCAGCTAAAACGAATCCCAATCCAACTTTTAAAATAAATGATTTGAATGATTCTAACTTCTAATACCAAGCATGATTATCTTAGATAATTTGGGGAAAGAAAAGGGTTCACTAGTTTTTGGAGGAATTCCCTCGAGGATTGTAGTAAAGTATATGCTTATTGGCTGCCTCCGATAAACATAAAAGCTATCCAGCAAATGATTTCATGGTTGATAAGCTTTTCTTCCATCTCTATGGAGTTTATACAACAAGAATGTAGACAATTCAATAAAAAATAATTTCATAACCTCTTGAAATGATGGAAATTGTTTTTTAGTGAATCACATGTGATTTACTTTTTACTTAAAAGAGGGCAACACATGCCTCATTTATCTAATTCTATGCATCACCTGAAGAAAAGTAACTTTCTTTTATTTTTTATCATTTCAATACATCCATTTAGATGTATTGGCTGTCACCTCTCTCTCTCTCTCTCTCTCTCTCTCAGTTTTCCCTGTTGCTATAGAAAATGAAGTTACACAGTGAGGACTCTGTGGCATGTCTAGTTTTATGCATATTTATGAAATTGATATGATTCAATTCAATGAATTACGTTGATCAAGGATGACTGAATTCTCTATGTTGCTAAACTTACAACTTCTATTTGTACATTATGAGTCAAGGTAACTTGTCTGAACCGTCACTACTCATTTTATTTTTTTTCTTTGACTTGGGTGTTATTTTTTCAAGTTGTATTTAAAATGATCTGGAAGTAAAGATCGGGATTTGATATTTTCCCACTTTGGTTGTAGCTTGTGCAGGTTTGGTGTCAAGTGCTATGCAGATGCGAGCGTGAAGGAGGTTTCTATCTCTGCTACTATTGATGTTGTGGCTGATGTTAAGACTGAGCGGGTACCGGGGACTTAATTTTTTCTTTATTCTATACAGTCAAATAGCATATGCAATTTAGCTACATCTAGCAAATTTATCCTCTGAACATTTCTTAGTAGGTTGTTGTCTTAGGAGGCAGTGGTTTTGTGGGTTCTGCAATATGCAAGGCTGCAGCATCCAAGGGTATAGAGGTCATAAGCCTGAGCAGGTTTGAGAAAGTTCTATCTGAATCTCTATGCATCCATGAATAATGATTATTTTCAAATATGTCCTTGTTGTGCTATCTTTCATGCAAAAGTGCTGCAATATCGTTGTTGAAGCAACTAAATGGTATTCTATTGCCATTTGTCTCTTTTTATGGCATCAGTTTTTGGAATTTGAACCTTTACTCATGGTGACAGGTCTGGGCGTCCTTCTTACTCAAGTCCATGGGTAGATCAGGTTACTTGGATGACAGGTATGTTTATCTCTATATCTAACTCTAATAGGTTATTGGTGTCATGGTTTAATAAGGTAATGCAATTAAAAGTGCTAACCCTGAAGTCCATGCTGAAATGGTTGATTAATAAATTTGTTTACTTGTTAATATAACTGGACGTATATTTAGAATTTGGTTCCATATATTGTAATCCATTAAATCAAGCAGGGGTGCATGAAGTTAAAGAATAGACACAAGCTTTTAAACTAAGAGTGTTTCAAATTAGTAGGGCTAGAAACTGGAGATGTGAAGTATAATCGTGAAAAAAGAAGAAAAAAATCGAAGAAGCAATAGATCTATAAAAAATTATATAAAAAGTGAGGAAGTGGAGAAGACTAATCACAAGAGATACTTAGGACCATTTTGGTTATATATGGTTGGTTGTATATAAGGGAGGAGAGGTTGGAGAAGATGTAACATACAAATTAAAGTAGGACGAATAAAATATAAAGGATTTCTACCTATTTTTAGAACAGGAAAGTGCATGAAACAAATATAGAGTTATACAAGCTTTAGGATAAGATGTTCGGCACTGAGAAGCTTGTCGTAAAATGGCATGGCTGAAATCAGTTGCTGATCTGGATCTGTTTCAAGACGAGAGGAAAAAATTGGATACAACTTATCTGTAAGTAGCATTAATTGTAGTCTAAATGGGAAAAAAAAGTGAAAATGGTTTAACCACATGCAACCGCAAACTATATAACTGCACTGACAAAAAGAGACATTGTTGATGCTAAGCTGAGAGAGAGACCAATTTGACATAAAATGATAAACCCAAATATGATACTGGAAAGAGCAAAATGATGTGAAAAATTCATAGCAGGCTCTAGACAAAGTTGTCTTAGTTAATTATTTTGAAATTCTATGTCAAGCAGAATAACAGCTAACTTCATATTGCTTGGTTCAGATTTGTTTTGTTTGGCTAAGACCAAATCTTGATCAATATTAAGTAGCAAACACAGTTCAGTATCTTAAAGATATGGGGTCGGCAAAGCAGATATTGTTACATCCGTTCTAGCGGGAAAATTTGTATATTTAGACATAACACAATAGTCAAAATACTGCTCATTAGTTCTGGCCCTTTTATTTTTTACTTTAATCTGAATCCTTCTTCTTCTTAGCATATCAAATGTGCATTAACCCACAACTTCTTGCATGTATCAACAAGTTGTAACAATTCTCTCCATGAGCAGTCTTTATTCACTTTTAAGGATATTGCCATAATATCCTGAATGGCCACCTCCTAAAAGTACCTCTAACTTAATTATTGCAGCATCCTCATCGTCTCTGCATATGTGATGTACATGTTGTTTTTTGATGTCTCCCCTTTATATTTTAAACCACAACTTGTTGTAATGTTGTTGTAAAATGTTCTCTACAGCCTTGATTGAATGTGATAGCCAACACCACCAACAACAATAATGATAATAAGCACACAACAACAACAACACATCAAATTTTCAATTTTAGCACATAGTTCTGATAATGGTGACGATGTCATTTTCAATCCCTCTGCTCATATTTTATTATGGATACTTGAGCAAAGATAGGGAACAAATTGTTTAAGTTTCTTCTCATAGTGGCCCATGCTCTGATAAACTGATCAACTGATTGACATTTATATGGTTTACAATTTTAACATTACCTGTTTTGTATTAACTGATATATTTCATTCTAAATTTTTAGGAATCGTTTTTATAACTACATTATTATACTATTTGTCATAGCTAAGTTGGACAAATCAGGTAGTTTAGTGGTATTTGTAATTGTTAAGCCTGCCTGACAATTTTTATTTTTGAGACAAGAATTCTTTTTTTACATTGAACGGGTTAGATGTGGTATTGGTTGATTTGAAAAATAGAAGTAACGAAATGCCCTTGAATTAATGATTTGGCATTTAACTAAGTGACATTCAAACATGTGAGAAGGTGTTCCCGTCTTGTTTTTCATTAATTAATTCAATTGTCATGTAATGGTTGCTGGTATTATTGACATTAATTATGTCCTAATGGGATTTTTTTGGATATATCATGTTTAGGTTTTAGGTTGGAATTTGGAAGAGTTCGAAATCCCTCATAATATGTAAACAACATGCAAATGTAAGTGATCAGCATCGTAATAAATGGATGGAGTAGAATTATGTGGATGGATGACTATAACACAATAAAGCACCTTGAGTGCCACGGGACATAATTTGGTGGGCCCTACAAAGAAAACAAGTACCTGTAAAACTTATAAATTTTATTCAGGATATACATAGTGTCACATTGATTAGAGTTAACACTACATGTGGGGAAACTATTGATTTCCCCATATTAGTGGGACTACACCAAGGATCAGTGTTGGGTCCATACCTGTTTGTGGTAGTGTTAGACGAAATAACAAAAGCTATACAACAAAACGTCCCATAGTGTATGTTATTTGCAAATGACATAGTATTAATAGACACTTCTAAGGAAGCCTTAGCAATAATATTAGAAATAAGGAGAAATGCATTAGAATCAAAAGGCTTAGAAATTAGTAAAACTAAAATGGAATATATGGTACGTAAATTTGATAAAGTAGAAAACGATGACAATATAAGTTTTACAAGTCAAGACCAAAGAGTTACTCAAAGTAACTACTATTTTCTAGGATCAATATTAGAAAAAGATGGAGAGATATATGGTGATGTAGTATGTAGGATTGGAGCAGGATGGACAAAATGGAGGCAAGCTAGTGGTATCCTTTGTGACAAACGAATACCAAATAAATTAAAAGAAAAATTCTATGGAACTGTTATTAAGTTAGCAATATTGTATGGAGCGGTGTCTTGAGCATTGAAAAAGACAAAAATGCAATGCATTCATGTAGCGGAAATGAGGATGCTACGGTGGATGATAGGAGTAACTAGAAGAGATAAGATAAATAGTGAACGTGTGAGGGGAACACTAGATATAGCACCTATAAATGATAATATTAGGGAAAATAGACTTAGGTGGTATGGACATATTCAGCGTAGATCCAATGATGCACTTGTTAAAAGAGGAAGAGTTGTTTTCCTAGAAGGTAAATGACAAAGAGGCCAACCAAGTCTTACGTGGGATGAAGTGATTCAAAATGATTTCAAATAATTAAATCTAAGAGAAGACATGGTGTATGATAGAAAAGAATGAAACAAGATAATTCATGTGGCTGACCCATGCATATGGGATAAAGGGATGGATGATGATGATGATGATGAAATGAACTGATTACATATTGGTTGGCATGCTGTGCTATTCCCGAACTGGGTTAGATGTAGAACTACAATCTCAAGCTAACTTGTGGTGTTATTGTGGCCAATGGCTGTAGGCCATATTAGCCTTTAGGCTTCTTAGGAATTTGTTCTGCACATGTCGCATGCATTTGTTACTTTGGCGTAATAATATATTAATATTGATTATGCCTTGTCTAGTTCAAATCAAATGTTTAATCCACAGATTCAAATTGTCTGAACCATCTTCACATCTCACAGGAGATGTTTTCTATGCAAACTGGGATGAAGTACTTGTTGGGGCCACTGCTGTGGTTTCAACCCTTGGAGGGTTTGGTAGTGAGGAACAGATGCAAAGAATTAATGGCGAGGCTAATGTTGTGGCAGTCGGTGCTGCAAAAGACTTTGGTATGGAATTGTTGGTTTCAATTTAACTGAATTATTTTTAAGTATCTAAAATCTCCTTTTTTTTTTCTGGGTATTTAGCCGGCTTCTTGTAAATTTGATTATGGCAATGTCTTTTGTGTTTTCTCTCTTTTTTCCCTCTATTGATGTTACTTATTGTAATATGCATTTATTTTCCATATTAAAATTCTTTCTGATAGCTCTGCATCAGGTGGTGTTTTTCTCTTTCCCCTTGGAAAATGATATGGTTTTTCTGCACACTTATTTAATTTGGCGACACTAGGAAGTCCTCAATCTGTTTTGGGTCCAGACTAATCCCTTTGGATGCAAGCAACCAAATTTTCTTTACATTTTCTATTTGCATTCATTTGGTTAGCCCATCCATCCACCGCTCCTTTATGAGGAAAGAGTCCACACATTGGGCAGTCTACTCTTCTAATCAGATATTGGGTTTTCAGCTTCTCTGTTTGGCAATAGCAGGAAGATGTTTTAGATGGGGGGCATTAGAAAAGTAGGTATCTTGTTCAGAAAAATGAAAACTGGTGGCAATTAGGTATCATTTATTACATTTGGTCTTTCTTTAATACTACAAAGGTGATGCATCAGGTTTTGGTAAATCTACTTCCATAATTGCTTTTTTGCATATTTGCCACTTGATCTGAAGAAAAATATTAAGTAGATAAGATCCAGAATTGTCGGATGAGTCTGAGTATAGAATACCTAAAAAAAAAAAAGAGAAAAAAAGACCCACAAGCGGTGTTCTGAAAAATATTGGAAACAATTTAGGTTATATTAAAGGTCTGCTTTCTCACCTTTTTTCTGGAAGCTCCTAATATAAATCTTTTAGCACAATAATTAAACATGAAAAATGCAATTTTAATATCCAGAGGAGGGAAAAAATGCAGACCCACAAAAATTGCTTTGAAAATATATTGGATTACAAGTTAGGTTAAATAAAGATTTGCTTTCTGACCTTTTTCAAGAAGCTCTGAATTTATGGATCTTTTAACACAACCATCAAACAAATTCATATAATACCATTCGTTTGCCGTAAGTGGCAATTAATATTATGGCTGATATGCTACATCAAGATATGATAACATGACCTTGCTCGGGTTATTGTGAGTTTCTTCTCCATTTTTTTTTTTAAGAACTTCACTGGACCTCTGACCTTTTAAGAGTTGTTGATTTACAAGATCCTGATGAGACAACACGGCTTCTCGTGGCATCATTTTTTATTGAATCTGTTGTTCTTATCCTTCTCTATCCTATATAGATATGTGCATGTGTGGGTGTTTGCACTCTGCAGTTATATTTTGAATGTCCAGTTTGGAAGCTGTTTTTTAATTACTTCATGTGCATTGCACCATCCGATCACTGACTACGCATTAGAAATGAGAACTAGGTACCTAGTAAAAAATTTACGGGTGGGGCTTCTGATGTAGGTTTCCTTGATCTCTTTCCTTTTTGTCTTTTCGGCAACCAAATGTAAATTTTGTCAGAGTAGAATTCCTCTAACAAATTCAATATTTTAATGAAATGTAATGAATAGTGGAATTCATGACTCGTTATTTATATATATATTTTTATCACAATCAGTGTTTTGTTCTAGTTGCTTTAGTCTTTTCATTTTCATATAAAGGTCTGGTTTTATTTAGTTTCTACGCCTACAAAACACCAACCGTTGCATTTATTTATTTATTTATTCTTTCTTGCAGGCGTTCCCAAGTTCATCTTGATCTCGGTTCATGATTATAACCTACCATCATTTGTACTATCATCCGGGTATTTCACAGGGAAGAGGAAAGCAGAATCAGAGGTTCTCTCCAAATATCCAAATTCCGGTAATTTATAACTTGCTTCTCAGTTTTTTGGTCATGTCTGGGTCAACTTGAATTGCAGTATTACTGTTGCATTATGCCTATGGTGCACAAGCAAGGGTGGTGGATGTAGAGTGGAAACTTGTAAGGCTAATTGTTTACCTAGAGCCGGTTATACCTGTTGAATGCTAGCTTCAGTCTCTTCGATTACTGCCTTCAGCCTTTGCTATTATAAAGTCACACATGCCTTTGCTTTGAAGAATTTCAAGAGAAACCAGTTAGAAAATTAATTAATAACAGAAATGAAGAAGAATGACTTTTGCCTTCTTTGCATTATTTTATTCATCACAAAGGGAGAAGTGGTTTCTGTGCATGGAAATCTCTACTCTTTCTTTCCCACTATTTATGACCACCCATTTTTGGCTGTTAAATTTTGCTCTTCTATCAGTTCTCTTCTGACCATTTTCTTGATTGTCGTCACAACTCTTGTTCGTTTGGCACTAAATGTCTTTTTCTTCCTCAATAGTCATTACACACAGATTTTATCCCCAATAGGAGTATCTGTGCGTCCATGACTTAGTTTCTCATGCAACTCTTGGCATTCTTTCCTTTACCCAGTAATTACCCTTGGAATTTCAACCGACGGTGGTTGCTGTAATTGTTTCTTCAATCCTTATTGTCTTAAAGAGGTAAGAGGAAATTTTCAAGGAAAAGTCAGTATTTGAGATTCATAATCTTGTTTTCAATTTTTAATAGAGATACTTCCCCCAAATGAGCTTCAAATTTTCTTGAACAAAATGATAACCCTTTCCCTGAACTAAAATTATGGATTAAGATCAGTGGCTATTTTGGCCTCCAGTGTGAGCCTGTGAAGGTTAGAGATTGGACTTCAGCAGAAGGAAAAAGGCGTTTGCAAATTTGATGTTTGGGAATGATGTGTTGTTGAAGATGAGGAGGTGAGGAGTGGTAATGCCATTTAAAGTGTGGGTGGTGACAATAGCCATGGCTTTATGGTTGAGAAGATGGAGGTATGATATAGCTCTGTTGGGAGGTTAAGAGATCACAACTGATTACTGACTTTGTGATTGAGTTTGTTGTCAAATGTCTCTCCACTATAAGGGCCTATTCTGGTTGACATATGTCTAAACTCTAAAGGTTGTTGATTAGATAGATGAGGGAGAAACCTGTATATCGATGGAGATTTTGGGTCAGTGTATTGAGAAAGAGAGCTCCCTTTCAATTTCTAATGCCCATTTTGAAAATATAATTACGTTGCAGTTGGTAATTGGGACCCCGTTAACTCTTAGAGTCTTACTGTTTAATGGAGTTTATGTGTAGGCCACATGTGGTGAAGTTCAAAATCTTTATTTTGTCTGAGACTGTTTGTTACTAGCATTCCTCTTTTCCGAATAAATAGCACAAGAAGCAAGTAAGCATTACAAATAACTGTCTGTTTTGTGTTGGTGGTTAAGTTTTTTAATCCACCTTACTCACAAAGTACTATAAACGTCCAAAAATCTTGTACAGACCATAATTAGAAGTTTAAAACACTGTTCTAAGATCAACTTCTTTATAGATAACTTAATTTGTTTTCATTGCCCCTGAAGACTAATGCACATGTGCATGCATTAATTTCTTTCTCAATGTGCAATTAGACGGATATCCTTTTGGAGATTTGTATGATCTGTGCAATATTTCTCTGCTATGTTACGTTGTTAAAGGTTTATCGATATGAACTTCTGCAGGTGCTGTGCTAAGACCAGGTTTTATATATGGGAAAAGAAGGGTGGATGGCTTCGAGATCCCTCTGGATTTGATAGGGGAACCATTGGAGAAAATTCTGCGTGCTACTGAAAACTTAACCAAACCTTTGAGTTCTCTCCCTGCATCTGATCTAATCTTGGCCCCTCCTGTTAGCGTCGATGATGTTGCATTTGCAGCGATTAATGCAGTGGTAGATGATGACTTCTTCGGTATTTTCACAATTGAGCAAATCAAGGAAGCTGCAGCAAAAGTGAGGGTATGACAGAATTAGTCACAATCGGTATCGCCACCAGGTTTGAGTGACCCCATTGCCTGGTTAGACAGCCTTATGTAAGGGTAAATACAGACTACAACATTTGTATAAGTTCTTCAATTGCTTGTACAAACTGTGTGATATTATCACCATCAAAAGCCTCTGGGTTCACTTAATTGCCGTTATACTCGTAGATCCGGTTGCTAGCGTGATAATTTTGAATTGTGTGCCGTTCTGGTCCCAACGCCTAGAAGGCCTGTGCATGTTGACCATGTTTTTTTTTGGAGGATTGCTTGGCAGTTGGCACTAAAATTTTGGACTGACAAACACAAGTACATGCACTTGCGTTTGAGGTCACTTTGTGTACGATAAAGTTGTTGCACTCCAAAAATAGGAACCAACTTTTTCACACTTGGAGATAAGGCTGTTTACATCTAACTCTTCTCAAACCTTGCGTAGTGGGAGTCTCGTGCACTGGACTAGTCCAATAAACTACAATGACCATCCAAATTCCCCTCAAAAATTCCTCAAAAATGAATATTCAACCCAGAATGCAGAGCCGGTGAATTTAAGGCTCTCTCCCAAGTATTGATATCACATGGTGAAATTATGCCCTAGGATTTTTGGATTGAAGGTTTCTACATTCATCTTGTTGCACTTTGGAACTTTAAAGTATGGGAAAGAGAGAATCACCATCAAAGAAAGAAAAAATAGAGAAATGAAACACACGACATTAATCCATGGCAGCAACTTATTATCCTGTTCAGTGTGAAAAGCTATCAATAACAGATCTGTTACAATCCAATCCATGCAGTCGAGAAAAAAAACATGGACCTTAGATGAGTTGTGAAACAAAAATTTGTTGACTACATCACCATCTGAACATGGTTGCCAATTTTTATAGTGAGCGCTCCAGAAACAGATCTACGTTACATTAGCCAACAGTTGAAACTACAGCGCACTAGCATGATTCAATTTTCATGAAACTGTAACAAAAGGCTATAATAATACACATTCTCTCCATTTTGCACATACAGAACCAACTGATTTTGATATAGAGCAAAATTTGCGCCTTCATTGAAACCATTTAGCATCTGTCGGACATTGTAGCTGAACTAGCCATGCCGTTTAGTGGCGACAGACTGCTCCACAAGATACCTAAAATGCAAGGTTTCATCATTAGAGCTTACAACGTGATGATTTAAATTAATGTTAGAATCAATACAGAAAAGTTCACTATTGGATTTATATATGAAGTATAACATAGATGTGTACAGGAGCAAAAAAAAAATTGCAGTGTCAAGGATTGTTGGACACTTCTGTTGATAGATTTGTCAATCTGACCGGTTTAGGTTACCACTAAGGTTTTCATATATGATTATCCATAGGATTCTATCTGTAAGAATGGGTAAAACTAGAATACAAAGCTATTATTCAATCCAACGTGCCTCGTCTGGTAATGTAAATCCATACTTGTTACTAGGTGGATAGAATATGTATAAAATTCATATATATATATATATATATATACGAATTTATGCGTTTAATCTGATGAATGATTTCTCTCCCCCAACACCCCCCCCCCCCCCCCCCCCCCCCCTTTATAGCGGTTGTTGATTAAACCATTTAAAGGTCGTTGTAGAGACAGTTATGAAATTATTAAATGGGTCGATAGGATCAGAAACCAAAGGTTTGACAAATTTGATATTAATAACAAGCCTGACTATGGAATTTGCCATGCATTACTTTTTATTTAGAAGTGCTGACCAGGCCGAATTTATCTGAATCTAATCTTCACGAGCCTGTTGTGAGGATAAAGTTTATTATGTAACCGACCACAAAAGGAAAAAATACAATTTACTTGGTGGACTTTAATATTAATACGGAATCACAAGTGTTTTGACCATTTCCTGTGCCAAGTGACAAATAATAAACCTGCCTGGTACAGAAATGGCATCGAAGTGGATGTTTGTTTTTTTATCTTGTTCGAATAAAATATTTTTAGGTTTCATCACATTGAAGAAAGGGGCAAACAATAAAACTTACTTGCCAGTGTAGAAGCCAGCAGAATACCAAGCATTCAAAACAACACTCAGGTCTGTCCCAGAGCTGCCACTTTGTTCCAGTTGTCCTCCATTTGTCTCTTCCTTTTCCCCTGCAATCCATGGAAAGAAATATTTGATACAGTAAGACACCATATTTTACGTGTCTTGCTCAGCATATATATATGTATGCCTTGAATATGTCATACTTTATAAGTTAATAAAAAAATAAAAAAAACACCCATATCACATGCAAATGCAAGAACCATGCTCATAGTAGTAAAAGAACATCTCTATTATTTTTCGTTAAAGAAGCCTATCTACAAACACTTATCAAAAAAAAAAAAAAAAAAAAGAAGCCTATCTACAAACATATATGTCAGGAGAACCCAAAGAGAAGGATTACATGAAGCTGATCGAATTTCAGGAAAGAAAACTTTCTCCACATTGCATAGATCAAATAAGCCCGTGTGACCAAAACCAAGAATTTATTTCTCCAAACATTTAACTTACAAAAATAAAATAAAGAAAGATGAGCAAGATATTGCAGTCTAGAGATATGTAAAGGATAGAAATCCTTCACTAATGTGTGTCTTTTTTGAGATAAAGTTCCTCTATAAGCCTTTGCCTTGTGGAGAAATACACTGTCCCATTCTATTAATTTGTCTCGGATCTTTTGGAGAGAGAAAAGAAGGAAGAAGAAGAAGAAAAGAAATGAAGATTTTTTGGAAGAAAGCATAACAGTTTTATTATCCGAGAACTCCAATTTACAGCATTTTATTAATTAGTGCCCCACCTCTTTTCCCCCCTTTTTCTTCTTCTCTCTCTTTCACCATATGCACTTGTGTCTTTAGATGCCAGGAATCAATATTCAACAGAAGCTGCAACAAGCTGATGCATTAGATGCCAGGAATCAATATTCAACAGAAGCTGCAACAAGCTGATGCATTACAAATGCAATTCTAAATTTCCAAGTCCTGTATAGTGACACATAACGTAAATAACGATGTAAAATAGGGGAGCTTCCGCTGCAGTGGATCACTTTCCAGGTTGTCTGGCATTTCTTTCTAATCTATTTGCAATTTCAACTGTCACAAATTCTGAGGCAATCATTTCCAACCAATTCATGAAAACAAGTTAAAAAGCGCGCATGTGCATGAATTTCAGTTTTTTAGGCAGTCTGCCATGATTCAAACAAAGATAAAGTATAAAAGTAAGACCGATCCCTGCTGCCTCAAGGTTGACTAACTTTTTAAGTTGTGCACCATTACAATTTGTTATCAACAAATATAGAAACATTTGAGTAAGAAACTCAAATTTTTGTGTACGAGTAGATGATGGTGAATGCACGAAAGAACGTGGGAGTTACAAATATGGAGATAGACTGAGGGACGAATGCAATAGCAGAATGAGCAACGTGTAAAAGAGGTAATATAGACCGAGACTGAGGGACCACCTGACAACACAACAAAAGCTGGTGCTGTAGATTGTTTTCATTAGGAAGTGTAAGAAATGAATTTGATGAGATAGATATCCAAGAGTTATTGGTGGAGCTTGAAAGAAGAAAAAGTACTACTACCTCAGATAAAGACAAAAGAAGAGAATTCAAATGAAGAAACTAACATCAAAATGGAATAAAACAATTGGTTATATTAAAAACTGGGAAAGATGTTTGGAGGATCTGAAGGGAACAACTCATCATTTAAGAAACTCTTATTTTTACATTTGTTTTGTTAGGTGGGCATCTGAGGAAACTTATAGCATGAATACTATGATTTAATCATTAAGACGAAATTACTAAAAGCAAACTGGATGTCTTGAACTCACAAAAATACAACTACGATAACCAAAGAAACAAAATCTCAAGATGAATAAGAAACAATGTTAATAAAGAACTAGAAAATCAAGGGAAAATATGAGTCTGATGACATTGTATGACACATACCTAGACAATCCAAGGTACATGTGCATCCTACATATCCAACAATATATATACTGCAGAATATTAACTATGAAGACACAATTGGATATGAGCACAACCATCACCAGAGATTTTTTTTTTACATTCTTTTTTGTTTTTTCCCTTTTTGCACAATTGTAGTAAATTAAATTGCTGATCTGGGTTATCACAAGAGGTCAAATTTAGAGCATAAGAGAAACCCTAGCCAGCACACTGCAAACTTACAGTAACCAAGATTTTTGCACATATTGATATCCTGGTGGAAAAGATAGAGATATATATATATATATATATAGAGAGAGAGAGAGAGTCTTGGGAAAACCATGCTCACCTTTATATAAATTAGAATCACCAGAAGTTTTTGCCATCAAGGAAGAAAGTGCTGTTTCGGCAGCTCCCATCGCTGTTTTGACAATATCACCTTCTTCGAGAGAAGATGACTTCTGATCACGACCCAAAGCTGAAGCAGCATCACAAGTTTTACCAACACAAGTCTCACCCAAAGAACACGGAGCCATCAAACACTGACAGCCATATGGGCAACAAGAACAGATGACGGATGGGTAAGAAGCTTCGGTTGTAGGGACTTGGTGTTCCAGAGAAGTAGAGCAGGTACCCCCTTCTACATTAGAAACCGGACCTTGGTAATTCCAACTGCCGAACTGGTAAAGTTGCTGTAGAATCTTTTGCCTCTGCTCCTCTAGGTCATAATATTGGTTCAGTAACTGGGTATAATCTTCTGCAACTTGTGTATTTGAAAAGCTTTGAACACCATCTTGCACTACTTGATCTTTTGATGAATCTACATAGAGTTCTGGAGTACATGAATTCACACCATGATTTTCTTTAACTGGTTGAAGATTGTTAGTTTCTGTCATTCCCGCTGTGGTACTTAATGCATCATTGCTGTTACCATCTGTTTCTATATGTCTTCATATAGAGGAGAAGAAGAGTAGCAAAAATTAGCATAGAATCCATTGAAGATAACAAAATAAGAAGTAGCTTGTTAAAGTAAAAGGAATTTATATTTACTAGCTTACTATATATTAACCTAAAAAATTAAAAGAAAATTTTATTTAAATCTTGTTTTCCAAGATTAACCTAAAGCTTCATACTAACTTCTTTTCATATGCATAAAACTATAATAGAATGGGTAAAATAAAAGATGATCTTTCTTTTTTTTACTTTTTCTTTTGGTAAATAATCAAACATAGATCACAATAACTCAAAGACAAACACTCCAGTGAGGAAACAAAATGACACAATCAAGATAAAACAAAATTAAATTGAATTTCATGAATTCTTAGAAGCAACAAAATAGGAAAATAAAGCATTGCTGCAAAACCAAAAGAACAAACTTCTGCTTATCAGTAAAAATTTATGACAAGAAGAAGAGAAAATACACCATTTAAATGCATGTATTATTATCCAAGAGCTATAATTTCTACTAAGAATCAAATGTTCCTATATTTCAAAATGGGCTAGAGGGAAGAAACCTCAAACCTCAAAGTTAAGGCAAGTGTCTCTTACACCATGAGGATCAAGGCTCAAGGAAAATTCCTTGAGGCGCACTAAAAAAGCCACTGCCAAGCATATTAATCGAGTGTGCCGTGGCAGACTAGGTCCAGATTTCGCCTTTGGCATTATTTGTACACAAGAATAAATATCAGCATAGACAAAAGGACACCAATATTTGGTTGGTTATATTCGAAGGAGGAACATCACCCAAGGATTGCAAGAAACTTCAATACATCAACTAAAAGGACGAATATGAAACAAGGATTACTTAGTAAAACTAAATTGAGATCAAGTACGCATATATGGAATTCCTATGAGCTGCCTTGTAAGCAATGATGATGGCAATCACAGTGACCTTTTGTATCTTCCAGATTCTGTTAGTCACGAAATGTTAACAAATGTGTATTATCCTGGTCTTTCCTGCAGACTAAGCATGATAAGAGGTACACCACTACATTTTCGCAAGGGCTGAAGACATCAGTCAGTTGAAAACAGTAAGGAAGGTATAGTAGAACTTTATCGTTCAAGGTCATGTTATCAATATTGCGGAAGATGGACGGTGCGCAAAGCAATGGAGACTCAAACCTCAAATGCTCTTTCGTAATAATGCGGAAGCATTTCGACCAATGTATCAAGGACACCAAAATGATGTTTAAAAAATCCAGCCACATGGGCTGACAGATGACAGAATAATCAAGTAAAGTTAATTCAATCAAGCCATGCGATTGTCAATCATTAAGTTATTATTCATTTTAAGTCATTCAGAAGTCAGTTGGACACATCTGGTAAGGTCAAATGGCTGAGTAAAAAAAATGCAGTAGAGGGCAACTGGATGAAGAACAAAAAGGTTATATCTCTATTAGTCAATGTAGTATGAATCCCTTTTAACTGAACCATACATGTACCCTACGAAGCACCAGGCAGGCAGTTTGAATCTCTGTTATACTATTTCCACTCTTGCCTCTCAAACATTCTTCTATTTATTTCTTTCTCAGAAGACCACGAGACAGCAACAACAAACGCCCAGCACTTAATTTCTCAAGCCCTGCATCCTCACTCACATGCTTAGACACTTGACAAACCAGGCATATCAAGCAGCACCAAATTAGCAAGGAAAACTAAACCCACTGACCAATGAAAAAAGCAGTGATATGTTGATACATTTAGAAACTGACCACAAAGCACTCAACAAACGTGAATTAAACAATTTCTAAGAATCAAGTTTTGCACTGGCAGGATTCTGTCATTGGCTGAAGTCCAAACTTGGGAGAATGTGCCCGATATGTCACTATCTCCTATCCTTGGGGCAAATAAGCCAATCAAATGCCCTTAAGTCACCTCATTGTCCTGGAGTCACTTTGGAAATTAGGAGACTATGCTACTGCATCCCTAATCATGATGAATGCTTGCTTATAGAAAAACCCAATTCCACAAGTGATGACTTCAAAGGGTTACATATGTGATTTCCTTGGAGAGGGAAAAGTTGCATATCTTATATGGAAAAATTCAAGTTGTAAAGAACTTGTGCAGTAGTATTGAACTATTGTACAATATGTTTTGGAAATTAAAACTAGTCCCCTGTATACTTGTTCTCGATGTTGATGCAGTGCCCATCTTCATTCAAATAATAAATAAATAAGAAGAGCTGTAGTGCAAACCATTGCAGTAGACCTTTATGTGACAAAAACATTTGTACTATAATATCCCTGAATATTTTTTTACTTCTCAGTCTGCTAGAATTCCATTAGTTCGCAAAATAAATGGATAAGAATAGTAAAAGGAACTACTATAGAAAAAAAAATCCGCACTTAATTTCAGTCACTTGGCAGTTGAAAAAAAAAAAAGTTCTGAACATACAGATAAATAGATAGTTCACACATTTAATTTGAAGTAGTAACTATGCATGTTATAGTTTTCTTTCACTCTGAACATGGAACAAACGTTTATTGCATTACAGCCTCAAGGACATGGAAAGACGCATAACACCACTTAGCAGTTGATACTTATTCTTTAGTCAGAGATCAAAATTTCTAATCCCAACATAACCAGTAAAGTATCAGGTTGACTAATATTCTGACCTTTTAGTCTCATGGCTTTCACCAACAAGAGTTGATAAATTTTCTTCTATGCTGCTTATCACTTTTCCTCCTTCAGTTGAACTATCATGATTTCCTTTGTCATGCATCGTCTGTAGAAAATAATGGAGGATGTTAAAAAACCTGATACAAACACTCAAAGTAAAAGGGGTACATGTGATATGAATAAGTTTCGCGTGTATTGACAGCAAAATAAAAAAATAAAAAATAAAAATAAATAAATAAATAAACAGTATTGTTGCCAAAACTAATGCTTCTACTTGTACTTCTTCTTTACTTCCTCTATGTTTTATTGTAAAATACAAATATAAGGGGCCATTGCTTGGAACACTCGTAAAAAGTTCGGTCTATCAAGCGTGAGAATGCATGTCCAAATAGTAATGTCAAAATTTAGGTCTGTATTGAGTCTACCTCTCCCAACACCCTCGTTTAATGAGAACTACACTAGGTGATGCCCCTTAAAAACCAAATTGTGCTTTCATTTTTATGTTTGCAACCAATTTTGTTTCTTTTGTTGTATACTCCAGTCTAATGTTCCAATCAAAACAAGGAAAAAGATGAAATGTACTTAGAGCTAAAAACAGTTCCCCCATCCCGATTAGCATTCCCAAGCCATTTTTGTTTTACTTTCACTGAAGATCCTCAAAACTTCACAAAGAAACTATACAGTTTATTTTATAATTGAAAGAAATCATAATTTGGTTCTATGTCTGACCAAAACTTGTGTTAAATCACTAGTAAGTTATAACAACCTTCACTATATTTCCATTTGCAATCCCCCACCCACCACCCTTTCTCTTAGGGGCGGAGGGAGGTGGGCGAGGGGGGGCATGGCCCCCCAAATTTTTATAAGAATCTTATTTATGGTTACATATTTAAAGTTATTAAAGGTAGTTTCCAAGAAAAAATACTACTGTAATCATTGTTAAAACTTATTAGTACTCTATTTATATCATTTATAAACACGCTCTTAAAAAAAATGGTTAAAATTATTTTATTTTTAGTTGATAATATTATATTACTAGTTTGGCCCCCTCAATTTTTTATTTCAGGAACCACCCCTGCTTTCTCTTGTCCGTGCAATGCCTTCAACATGAACCAATCACTGCTCACCAGCCTGATACATTGGTCAGAATTGAGTGTGAGAAACTACCAAACCATCTTTGGTGCTTTCTCTCACCTTTTTCCCCATTCCCCAGTGAACGCTACCTCTAACTTCTGCCAAATACATCCACTTCCAATTAAACTCATTTTCTGTCTACCACTATTTGACCTAACAAACTCAATTCACTCAGTCTCACTCTAAGCACGGTTCAGTTCCAGTCATTCTACCTCCAAATGGTCAATTATACATGTCAAGCATGTATACTCTGTAATACACATTCATGCATAAAAAAGAAACAAGAAAAAAGAAATTACATACATCTTCATGTATGCATTTCAAGATTCATACATGTTTGCCTTTTTATCTTGTACCAGCCAGGAAAAAAAAAAAAATTTCTATAATTTAATAGTATCTCACATGTGTGTGTATAGAGAGTGTGTGTGTGTGCAAGGATTAGTTTGAGAAACAGTTCCATTTTTGTAAAGTGAAAAGCATAAAACCCTAGCCTCTGTATGAAGTGGATAGAATACAGGATGAACGAAGCTTAGAGAGAGGAAGTAGAGAGAGAAAGAGGAGTGGCACCTTGTACTTGGAGATGGCGTCGTCGAACGCGTTGATGAGAGCAGAATCATCCCAGAGATCGCCTTCCTTTCCCATTCTTCTTTTCTTTTCAGCACTTTCTCACGCAAAACCTTTGATTGCCTTCAAAATGAGTTCCACAATATATTATTTTATTTACTTTTAAAAATAAATGACCTTTAAATTAGGCCGATTAAATAACAAAAATTAATTAATCAATATCTAAGGTTGTCCCCCAAAAATATATATATATCAATTATGTATAATTTTTTTAGATTATTATTATTATTATTATTAGATTATTATTTAAAAAATGATAATAATAATACAGCAATACAACTGTGTGGTATATATATATTTTTTTCAGATTTAAATCTCCATAGACCATTAACAATTTCACAGTTCACCTTTCTTTTACGTAGCTCATAAGTAGAACTATAAACATGTCAAACTAACCCTTTTTTCTTTTTCTTTTTTTCTTTTTTTCTAGAAGAGCACTGTTTTTTACTTTGACTTTAGAGGAATAGACACGTGAGAGGGTGGGATCCACTCTAGCTCATAAGTAGAACTATACAAGTGTTTACTCCATGTAATTTATTTATTTTTTTACAATTAAGGTAAGTCAAATATTTGATGTTTGATGAGGCACACTCAAATGACTTACTGTTACAAAGGGATTTGTCCCGTGTCAAATATTTGGGTATTATTGAATCAAGAGTCACTCCAGACAATGAATCAAAATTCTCTGTAGCTCTATAGTCCTCCTGTCCGAATCAATGAACATTGTTCGGTTCTTGTTGAACCAGGTCACTGTCCAAACAAGTCAAAAAAAAATTCACCTCATTAAGTTACTTATTATATAAATACATAAATAATAAATAAACATAACTTGGTACAAATTGTACATTTATCTTATTTAGGATACATATTAGGAAAAGATTGGATCCAAATGTACATATCAAATTTATTCTTACCAACATCTCAATATTTTTCTAACTTACATTCCAAAATATCTGTATATATAATGTATGTGTTTATGTACAAAAGTTTTGGTTTTTTTTTTTTAAACCTTTACCATTTTAACTCACCAGATGACACAGGTTCTCTTTTAGCGCAGGAGAGAATTTTGTTCCACCCTAGCCCTTGTTTTAGCCTCAAATTCAATATAATCTGAGGCCCTTTAATATGTAATATATTAATAATTAATAATATTTATTAAAAGTCATTCATTTTAAAGTATTTTTTCAATAAACAATATAGTCAATTCATTTTAATATTTCTTGTGACATAATTAATCTTATTTTTAATATATTTTTGTTGTTCTTCATAAATTTCTTATTACACATTTGATTATTATGAATCAAGTTTACTAATACATTTTTCTTTTATTATTGTATAATTTTTAATTATTATAGATGACTTTGTTATTCATTTGTTGTTTTCATGAAAAATGTTTTTGTTATGTTTTGATTATTAGTTGAACTTTTACTTAAATGTTTTATTATGAAAAGTTTTACCAATTTTCAAGATAATTAAATATATATTTAATAATTACGGCTAGGTGGGATGAAAATAAGTGAACCACGAGAAGAAGGTAGGAAAATAAAAAGGTGAGCTAAGAATAGAAATGTTTTGGATATATATTCAATAATTATCAACTTTTGGGCCCATTATTAAATCTTTATTGGTTGGGATGTTATAAAAGAAAATAAAAATTTTAAAAAAGATTATAATATAAGGAATAAAAAAAATTGGGCCTTCTTTTTATTTGGGTTTAATAATAAAAGGAAATAAAATTTGAAAAAAATTATAATATATAAAGATAAAAAATTTGGGTCTTAATCGAAGGAAATATAATTCTTAGAAAATATATAATATAAGATAGATAAAATTTTTTGGACTTCCTATTGGCTGGGCTTAGCAACCGCCTGTAGGCTCAGCCCGTGTTTTTGTTTTTTTGTTTTGTTATTTCTATGCACCTTATAACAAAAAAAAAAATTTATTTCGATCATATATTTCGAATTTGATGGTTTTTGCAAGAACGAAAAACCCTAGCTTTTGACCAGTTTGATTTGTGGATCTGATTGTTTTTCTGTTTGGAAGAGAGAAACCATATTGTGAGGTCTCGATTTTGGTTCAATCAGCAGAACCAAATTTGAGTATTCTTCTCCGGCGAAAGCAAAGCCTCTACTCGCCTCAGGTTCGTTTTCTACCTGCCGTTAGGCAAAGTCTTGCTTGTCTTTTTCCTTGATATATTGTTATACAAAGATACGTATATAAGACACATCACTATGTTCTCTGCATCAATGATAGATTCATAAACTTGTATGGTACGTACACATATGTATACATAATCACTCCCATGTAATTTTCGTATTTTTATTCAACAGTAATTAATTGGGTCTTGCTTGGTTTGCACCTCCCAAAACTGTTTTCAAGAACAATTTTCAGAGAATCAGAGCAATTGTCAGTTTTTTCAGTTTGAAAATCCGCTTGGTTGGGAAAATTACGAAACTGTTTTTAGAAGAAATCCACTTGGGTTTCCACCTTTTATTTTTTTATTCAATGCAACAGGGGAAAAATTGTTCGACATGACATGATTATTTTCAGAGTTAGTTTTCCTATCACAATGGCCTATTTCTGACATGTTAACTACTAATGCTATATTTACTAAATAGTGTGAGCTTTGCATTACTTGTAAGTTCTCTGAAGAAATTTAAAAAAAAAAGTTTAAATAGAGAACACAAGAGTTACATGACTTAATTAAGTTTAAATAGAGAAAAAGAAATACATGAGTTACTTCTAGTGTACAATCATAAGTTGAGTTTTACATAACCAAAATAAAAAATATGTACATGAATTTAATTTCATCCAGCATTGGCTATGTGGGATGCCCGCAATCTGGTTTTTCTATAAGCAACCATTTCTGTCGCCCAGAGAAGTTACTGCATGGTCCTCGACTAGTGCTAGCATTTCCCTCACCGACAATATGATCTTCTCCTTCATACTCGATAAAACAAAGCAGAACACAAGAAGTTGCCGATTGCTTCTCTCTCTCTTGGTTTTTGTTTTTGTTTTACAGTAAGGTCATTTTTGTCATATGTTGATCCCTTTAATGGCAAAGGGTGACTGAGTGTCCCTATTTGCACAAACTTAAAATGTATGGTTGTTTTTGTCATGCTATGGGTGTTTCTACACATCTCATGTATGTATAGTCGTGTTTTTTTATTTGGCATTTTAACCTACTAACAAATTCTAAACTCTTTTATTGAATAGTTTCTATTTATTGAAATTTTTAGTACAACCTAAACAACAAATAGATCAAATTATTTTTTGATATTTGAACATTTATTAGGTCTACTGATTTATTTATTTATTTATTTATTTTTCATAAGTAAAAAATATATTAGAAAAGCGTTGAAATTATTAGGTCTACTGATTTAAAACATCAAGTCATTGCGTAGTGGGCATTTGTTTAAGGATGGATAGAGTATGTTTTTTGTTGTTACCTTGAAGTTGAGGATGTTACTTGTGTAAAACAAGGTCTCATTGTTGGCTTCAAATAAGCAATAAAGGGGGGGAAAAGCAGTTTTTATGTTTGATTGTAAGAAAGGATCGGGGAGGGATGGATGGGAGGGGGGATAGACGATGCTTCTCATTTTTGGTTAGAGGGAAGGGAAGAAAGCGAGGAAGCATCCCTCCTTGCCTATTGTGTTTTTATCTGTCCAGAATTGGGCAGAAAACCCGAAGCCAATCTTTAGAATAAAAATAAAATTAACCATAATTGAATTTATATGGTCTTATTAAATTTTTATAATTTTCATAGTGTTTTTCCTCCATTATAGAGGAATTATAAAAATTGGTAGAGAGAGAGAGAGATGCTGCAAGATGCCGAGACAAGAAGGATTTCAACGACAGTAGCAAGTTAGTAAAGCTTCTTCTTTCTTTCTTTTCTTTTTTTTTTTTTTTTTTTTTTTCATAATTAAGTTAGCAAAGCTTCAATGCTGAGAGAATAAGAATTCTTCCCGTTCAAACTTATCTCTCACAGCACCAGATTTATTTGGAGTTAATATAAATATTCCAGGGCTTATCTCTTGAGAAATTTGTAATCAACAACATCCGCAACTTTCTATTAGGTGGTGGCAAAGTCCATTGGCAACAAACCCCCAGTTATTTGTTCATGGAGTTGGAGGAAGATATTATTTATTAGAAGCTCTGTAAAATCCCTTTTTAAGTCCATTCCTGGGGATGGAACCAGTATCTCCTTGTGGTTTTTGATAACTGGCACTCTCAAGGCCCTTAAATACACCATAAATTGGGGAAAGAATATGAAACAAAGACCTCAATATGTGATAAGAATTTATTCCAGGTAGATCCACTATGGAAGTCATATACATAATAAGACAATTAACAGGTGTCTATAGGAGTAAACATTAAAATTTTTTATTTATTTTTTCCTAAATGAAACATTATAAAATTACTAATGGTTTTCATAGATTTAGAGAAGGCATATGTAAGGTGCCAAGGGACATACTTCCATGGTGACTGTTATTTGCAGATGATATAGTTTTATTAGATGCTCTGAAGGAAACCTTATTAACAAAATTAGAAATAGGAGAAAGACCCTTGAAGCAAAAGCTAGTAAAACTAAAACATAATATATGTATTGTGAATGATATAAAGTAGCAACTGATGATGCTATATATATCACACATCAAGGCAAAAGAGTTACTCAAAATAACTAACCCCCCCCCCCCCCCCCCCTCTCTCTCTCTCTCTCTCTCTCGCTCTCTCTGTGCGTTGATGAATGTTGATTAATATCAATTTGGACTTTGGAATCCTTTTTGTTTTACTTTCTTTTAAACAGTAAATTATCTTAAATTGTATTCTACAGTATCCCAACCATATCCGATTTGAAATATATATATTTATATAATACATATATTAAAATTATGGATACTTCCCAGCCATATCGAACATATATATATGAGCACATGTGTGCGTATTCCTGTCCCACTCCCCCCGCCCCCCCAAAAAAAAAAAAATCCGAAAAAAGAAAAAGAAAAAAAAAAAGAAAGAAAAGGGAAAAAAGGTAGGTGTATGAAGAAGACATCAAAAGAAAATCTGCTTCAAAGTTATAAATTGCAGTAAAAATGATATAATATACCCCATAAAGAGTCTCTTTCATTTTAGTTGCTCTTGTCAGACTCTTGTAAAAATGCACCCAGATACAAAACTAGAAATACCCTTAAATGTCTTCTAGCACCAAACTTAAAGCATTTAGAGGAAATTATTCTCTCAACAGTGGATCTAATCTAAATAAGCAAAAGTTTCATATATATAGAATATTTCTTGTAAGTTCCACTTCAAAATTTTACACAAGCCTCTCTCATGTAGATCTATTGACACCTTTTATATTATACCTGAAAGTTATTCAAATTCCAGGTTGACAAGGATTATATAGAATCCCAAACGAGTTCACCTATTATAGGCCTAAATACCTAGTAAGATCCTAAATCCTAAAATATCAATTGAACTGAACTTAATGCATTCACAAAAATAGAGGATGGTAGACATTGTCTGTGTTTAAATCTCTTTCTCCCTCTCCCATGCACACAAATAAAGCTTAACGAATTCTTATCTCCCGTCAAGCAACCTATGAAATCAATCCATGAGTTAACTTAGTATGTGGCTCCTCTTTGTAAACTTCTCTTCGAATGCGTTAACTAATCAGTGGTACCTAAATTAATTTTTGGTGCTGCTTTTTACACTGCAATGCCAGTACACCTACATTCCTTCATAAATACATTTGAGTACAAATCAAACAGTTAGTTGGTCTCAACCACGACTTGTAACTTAAATTAAATCATTTCGCTGGCCGAATGGATCATTTTTCCAAAATACTGATAACACTGTAATACACTTCTTTATTCCTTAAATGACTAGAGCCATCCACGTGTATTATATATCACAATTCTTGGTGCCTAAATGCAAATGGATCACTGCAAGCGCCAAATATCTACTAGGATAGAGAATACTTAGATGAGGTGCAAATGAAGAAGTTCAAAGCGGTAAAGTTCCAGTTTACCTTGTGTGCCAGGGGGTTGTCTCTGCAAAACTGGAGGCCTAATTCCTGGTATTAATGGTGAATTCACAGGCAATTATGTGTTACCTTCTGCGCCAGAAGGTGGTATCGAAAAAACTGGAGGCCTAATACTGGGAGTAATGGTGACTTCATAGGTAACTGTGTGTTCCTTGCAATCGGCAATACAGGAGGAAGTAGAACATGAAGGCGAGGCCTCAGGTCATTGTAAACAACCCCAGCTTGTTGGTATGTTGTTTGTTTGAGATGTTCCGTGATCTTTTGGTCAATCAAACTTGCTAATTTACCTGTACATAATTTGAAATATCCAAATAATGAGGAGCATTACACTTTAAGAAATACAGAAAACACACGTTCTTGCCAACATTGTGTTGCTTTCTTACAGAAGGGTGAAATGACAAATAGAAATAGTGAGCAATATAAAATGTCAAATCATTACCTTCTCATAATTGCAGGAATGTTAAAAATAAGAGTAACATGACATTTTAAACTTAAAAAACAATAATCATTCCTATAAATTTCTCTTATTTTATTTTTATTTTTATGGATGGTTATGCACTAGCGTGGTTAGCCTGAAGAAAAAAAATAGAAAAGGAAAAAGGACCAATGATAAATATTTAATAGAAAATGTTTTGTGTATGACCACAACTCTGCCTATGTTCAATTTTCTGACTAGTGTATTATCCTCACAGTCATTCTTGGGCAAAGAAAAAGAGGTGGTGCTATTTACCGAAAAAAATAGAGGTTTGTTTGGTAGATGACATTCAGATCCTCCAAATAGTTGGGAGTCTTGGGATAAGGATTCTGGTTAGCAGAGTAGAGTAATTTGGTACCTGAATAAATTGGTCGGTTCTAGAGAATAATATGCGACATGTTTCACCGTGATATTTCTTAAATCAATTGTCAAAAGAACTCCATAATCTTAATTCGTTTGCCAAGAGTTACAATTCCCCACCATTCGAGGAGAGTGGGAAGTTGGGATCCCATGGTTGAGAATGTCGATTAATATCAATTTGGACTTCTGAGTCATTTTTGTTTTTCTTTCTTTTAAACAATAAATAATTTTAGAATTATTACCCTATTTTTTATAAAAACATTTACAAATCTGTCCAATCGTACCCAACAAGTATTCTACTGTATCTGAGCCATATCCGATTTGAAATATATATATACATTAGAATTACAAATACTTCCCAGCCGTATCAAACATATATATATCTATATATATGAGCAAATTTTTGCGTATTCATGTCGGATACGTGTTCAATATTGCCACAACGACGCTGTAAGTATCCATGCTTTCTAGCACTCCCCATCCCCCACCCAAAAAAAAGGGGAAAAAAAAAAAAGAAAAAGAAAATAGGTCGTGTATAAAGAAGACATCAAAAGAAAATCTCCTTCCAAATAATAAATTGCAGTAAAAATCATATAATATACCACATATAGCGTCTCTTCCATTTTAGTTGCTCTTGTCAGGCTGCTTGTACAAATGCACCCAGGTACAAACAGTGTTCCAGAATTGTGTTGATGTTATACCAAATTGCTCTATTGTCGACCGTATATTTTTTACGGTTGTAAGACGGTGTTCTTATTGATCGGATGATCATCCAATCCAAAATGCTCTTTTATCGCATTTGTTACCTGAGACTAAATGAGCTAATTTTTAGGCATGTTGACTCTCTTCCCACTATTCACCTCGTCGACAAGAATATCTAATAACATCCATATGTTTTTTTTTTTTTTGTTTTCCCTAGTTCAAATAAATGATAGTAAAATGGTCGCACAATTGTAAATTAAGGCTTCATAATAATTTGGGACGTGATGGAAGTGCAAATTTTAAAGTAAAATTCCACCTTAATTCATTACTCTTAACATTGAGTATAATTTACGTTGGCTAAAAATATTTATTCCTTATCAAGGATAATTCATGATAATACTTTTAGATAATTTTTTCATGTGAAATATATTAAGGGTAATGTTATTCCTAAATTATACTTTATAATCTATACTTTACAAATATTCAATGGTTTCAGTAAGAGTAAGTATTATTCAATGTCATGGTAAATAACAGACATGATCATTAAATTACAAAATTTTCTTAAATTTGATTTTTTTTGAAATGGTCTAAAAATAATAATAATCACGTTAGTAGTAATAATTAAAATAATAATACGGTTGTAATAATTTTGATCTAATTCACCTTTTAAACCCCCTTTGCCCCTTTTAAGGCTTTATAGGGTTCTATCTCTCTAGTTTTAATTCTCCCTCTTGCCTAGGTTTGTGCTTCGAACCAAGCTGGGATTAGGGTTTTACCTCATAGGTGTCATTTACTAGTCTCAACTCGTTTATATATATATATATATTGGAATTCATTTTTAGTTTAAACTTTCATATGCCCTTTTTTTTTTTTGACAAGTAAAAACATATTAGAAAAGCGTTCAAAAGGGGAACGTGTCCCTAATACAAGAAGAAAAAAGACCTAAGGACTAATAGCATACAAAAGATCAATGAAATCATCAATTGAGGAGCATGCGCTTCCTCTTACATAATAGAACAGAGAACGCAGAATATGAATTTTTAGATTAGCTAAAGACGATTCTTTTCCTTTAAAGGTTCTGTTATTCCTCTCACGCCATAGACACCACCAAACACAATGTGGAACAATCCTCCAATAATCACGAGCTTGTTCTTTTTTTTTTTTTTTTAACAGGACATCTTCTCCAAGCGTTGATCAATTGTGAAGAGTGCTTAGGCATTACCCGAAAAATGCCAAACACGCAAAAAATAAAACTCCAACAATCATACGCCTCAGAACAATGCAAAAGAATATGATCCACGGATTCACTATCTGCTTTACATAAACAATACCAATTGACAATGATGTTGCCTCTCTTTCTCAAGTTGTCCAATGTCGAAATCTTTCCCCATGTGGCAGTCCAAACGAAGAATGCGATTCTAAGAGGAGCTTTAGAACGCCAAACAGACTTCCATGGGAAATCATGACCAACGAAGTTGGACAAACACAAGAACATGGATCAGACACCATACCTACCATGAGTTAAAGGAACCCACAAAATATCATCACACCCTCTGCCAACCTCCTTCTGCCTATACAACGTATCTAAAACAACACAAGCTTCCTCCATTTCCCAGTCCTGAAAGGGGCGCCTAAAACACCCATCCCACGTAACTCCACTGTTATCAAGTTGATAACAATCAATTACGTAGACATGCTTATTGTCTGCAATACTGTAAAGTCTAGGAAAGAAGTGAGACAACAGCTGATCTCCGCACCAAAGGTCCTCCCAAAAAGGGACATGCCTTTAAACATCAACTTTTCTCTTTTTTCTTTGTTTTCTCATCGGGTTCTGTTTTATAGAATTTTAGACACATTTTCTGGTTTTTTATGTAGGTGCTTTTTAGCTATATTTGTGTGTTTGTGTTTGTGTGTATGTATATATTTATGTGTTGAGTATGTATATGTATCTGTATACTGCTTACAGATTACTTAGTATTTTGTTCTGTAGAAAAATGTAAGCGAATCGTTTCTGTGTTATACACCCAAATGTAATGCTGTGTTTTCTTTATCTTTTTCTCCCATATCTTTGCTTATGTGCTTTCGTTTTGGAAGATTGCAGGTGGTTTGCTCTTGCCTTACGCAATCATGCCTCGGTAAATTTGCTTTGTTATTAAATATTTAGTCTTTGGTAAATTTGTTCTTAGAGTCTACTTTTTTTCCCTCCCACTTATTGGTTGGTTTTTTATCTTTCAGGTATTATTGTGACTACTGTGACACTTATCTGACACATGATTCGGTAAGTCATCCTTGCCATTTGTGTAGAAATATATTAATGCAGTAAACTGGTCTGTGCTTATTGTACTAATTGTAATTTTTATGCAAGAGAATTAGGATTTTGGAGATTTTTTTTTTGTCCGATAAGTAGGAGTATATTAGAAAGCGTTCAAAAGTGGAATGCATCCCGGAAGCTATACAAAGGTTGAAGCCAAAGAAAAGGACCTAAGGGCCCAAGTAACCCCAAAAATAAAGAATCTCCTCAACAGATTTACAATTTCTCCCCATAATCCAGCCTAAAAAAGAACTAATGATAAGAAATTTCAAAGCCTCCCCATCGAAAGATCTTCTATTCCTCTACTTCAAAATGCACCACCAAACACAAAGGGGGGCCGCCCTAAAAAAATTGCAAGCGTGGGCTCCCACAGAATAGCCGCCTCAAAGGTCGAAGACCGAGGCATTATCCATTGGACGCCGAACAAACCAAGAATAAGGCTCCAACAGTCGGGAGGTACGGGGCAATGCAAGAGGAGGTGATCCACATATTCTCCATCCTTCTTACACATGCAACACTAGTTGACAGTAACCTGTCTTCTCGTTCTCAGATTATCCATCGTCAAAATCTTGCCCCAAATTGCAATCCAAACAAAGAAGGCCACTCTGAGAGGAGCCTTCGAGCGCTAAATCGTCTTCCAAAGGATACTAGAACCATAGAAGTTGGAAAGATAATAGAACAAGGAACATACCTCAAACCTCCCCTAAGAGGGCACCCAAAAAATTATAGTCAAGGCCTCTACCAACCAGCTCCTGTCTATACAAAAAATCCAGAAGTCCGTAAACATCGTCCAACTCCCAATCTTGAAAATGTTGCCAAAAACGCACATCCCATGTAGTCCTATCGCTATCAAGCCAATAACAGTCGTCAACCAAGGCATGTTTATCAACGGCAATTCCGAAAAGACTGGGAAAAGAACGGGACAACTGATGATCGCCGCACCATAGAACTGAATGCCCTTGCCATCCCGTGCCTTGAATTTAATATGTTTAGAAAATTCATCCCAACCCTTCTGAATGAACTTCCAAACACTCATACCCCCAAGAGGACCAACCACCTCTTTCCTCCCCATATTGACACGAAATAACCCTTCTCCAAGGCTGGTGTCGTTCACCTCCGAATCTCCATAACCACTTACCTAGGAGATTCCTATTGAAAGGGATCAACCTCCTAATACCCAATCCACCCAACTGAATAGGCCTACATACCTGCTCGCAACGGATAAGACGATACTTGAACTCCTCCATCCTACTGTCCCATAAGAAATTCCGTTGAATTTTCTCAATCTCCAGCTACAGAGGACGGAATCTGGAAGAGAGAGTATATAGGAAGATTCGACAACGTACTCTTCATAAGAGTGACGTTCCCATCCTTAGAAAGATATTGCTTCTTCCACCCAACCAGTCTTCTTTCAAACCGCTCGATCGCAAGGTCCCATTTTCCCCCCTCCTCGAAGAAAGCACCCAAAGGCAAACCCAAATAACAAATAGGAAAACAGCTATCCCCACACCCAAGGAGGCAAGGAGTGCAACAAGAGAAGCGATGTCCTGGACCTCCCCCACAGTGTACCGCACTCTTTTATGGGCCGTTCTTCTTGTCCTTCTGAACCCCCACAAAACCCCCACATTTCACACCGATGGCTTCAACTAGAGAATCACACCACAGATGCAGGGGGAGGCCATAAATTAGAATCCGGCGAGAACCCTCCTTCAAAATCCTTGAGCATCCCACTCAATAACCCCATCATCAAGCATGAGATAGGCATCGCCTAACACCCTCTCCGCCACACGGGAAGGAAAATGAAATAAAATTAGCGAGTCTAGCAAAGAAGAGATTTCAAGCCCTCTCTCCACTTTCCGAGACTTTGAGGCCCATTCTGTAATCTTCAAAATACTCCCTGCATCTCTATCAAACCGACCATTCAATGCTTTTTTCTTCAGCCCTAAAGGTCAATCCCCTGTCCGATCGCAAACACACAACCTCGCCATCGGAAACAGACTTGGAGCTTTATTAGCATTACAACTCTTCAGCGCTTTAACACTTCCTCCTTGGAGAAAGGAATCTTAAGCCAATCCCTTTCCATCGCTGAAATCGAATCAAAATAAAGACTGCCATGCCGGGGTGTCCAAGTGCGAGTCTCAGTGTAGAGCCTCTGATAGTAGGAGACAATCCCCCTACACACGTCCTCCTTATGCAACTCCAGCCCATCAACTTGGATCCACCCAATATGATTTCCCCTTTTTTGGGCATTTGTAAGCCTATGAAGGAATCTCGTATTACGGTCTTTAAGCTATAAAGCCTGAGATTTATGTTGCTATGAAATCTTCTCCATAATAGATTTCTTAGTAATCTCCACCTGGCAATCTGCTCTCTGAAGTGTCTACAATACCGTCCCTCCCTTCCAACTGATTAATCTCAGTTTTAGAAAGGGCCTAGTTCTTCCTCCACTTCAAGTTCCCAAACTCCTCCTTATTCCATCTTTTAAGCTCAACCTTCAAGAACTGAAGTTTTCTGGCCAAAACAAAACTCGAGGTACCAATCATTGTAGCCTCCTCCCACCAAAACCGAACTCTCCCTTGGAAATCCTCCGCTCTAAGCCACATATTCTCGAATCTGAAAGGAGTGCTCCAAGATCTCAAACCACCACAATCCAGAACCAGCAGAATATGATCAGAGTTCACCCTAGCCAAAGTTGCCTGAACAACATCCGGGAATCTCTCCTCCCAGTCCCCAGAAATTAAGACTGTCGAATCGGGAGAGAGTGAAAGACTCCCTACTGCCTGTCCAAGTGAAGGCCGCCACACCCTCCAACGGTAAGTTAATAAGATGATGGCCATCAAAGACCACCTCCCACCTGTGATCTCTTTGTAGGGAATCTAATCACATTGAAGTCCCCACCCACACATCAAGGAAGGGACCACATCCCTCTCACTGGACTAAGCTTCTCCCAAAGCAAATGTCTCTCACCATCATCCACCGGCCCATAAATCCCGTTGAAGGCCCATCTAAAACCATCCTCCTCCATCACGAAGGCACATAAAATAGAGAACCTCCATTTCCAAGTGTCCAACCTTGACACCCATCTCCTATCCCACATGACGAGAATGCCCCCGGGAGACCCCAAAGCCTCCCACTCAACGAACCTCCCTCCCCAAAGACGACTCTCCACCCTATCCGTCATTGAAGTAACTTTTGATTCTTGCAAATAGACTTCCTTACTGCCAACTTCATCACCTTCCTCTTATCCAGGTCATTAAAACCGCGGACATTCCAAGATATAATTCAGAACTTCATGAGGAAACAATATCCTTCACCTCCCCTTTCCCTCACCAACCAGTCCTCCCCCTCATAATTGAAGTAAGAGATGAGATTTCTCACCTCCCTCTTCCCTCTCCAAGAGGAAGTGTTCTTCTTTCTCCTAACCAACACCCCCTCTCCCCCCTCTATTGTTGCATGGAGAATTGACAAAGCCTGCTCTTTGTTACCCTCAAAAGAGACACCCAACAATTCACTTGTCACGCCGATATTCTCCTTCACCCACCCCTTACCTAAATCAACATTTCCCTGCCCCGTAGTGCCTGTCCCCCCATTCCTTTCGGTCGCACCACAACCAGGGGATCAATCACACCAAGTTTGGATTACCCTCCCCCTCCCACAACATTAAATCAAGAGACCCATCCCTCTGATCCCTCAACATGCTTCCCTGACCACAATCCAACCCCTTCCCAGCCTCATCTCAACACAGCCAGTCAATAGAGCTATTCAACCCACCATCTGACCTATCATACATAGTTTCCTGGGCAGTGCTTAGCATTTCATTGATCAAAATTCTATACCTTTTCAGTTCTCGTACCAACATAACACAAAGTGTTATCTTCTCGATACCACTAGCCAAAACTATCCCTTCGGTTTTGAGGCTCTGAAAATCTCCCATTTCGTTGGTCGAAATTCTATGTTTTTCCAGTTCTCGTACGAACATAGCTGCTGACTCATCACTCAGGGTGATTCGAATATCCCTTGCCAACACAAAGTGTCATCTTCTCGAAACCACCAGCCAAAACCATCCCTTCGGTTTCGAGGCTCTGAAAATCTCCCATAACCCTGCGAGAATAAGAAGACAGCAGAACAAGAGAAATCCGAGGGAGAGCCAGAATCCCCCATGCCATTTATGTCATCACCTCAGTCAAAAACCTTCCCAGATGAAACAGATTTCATCACATCTTTTTCTGACATCCCATAGCACCCAGACCGATCAGAAACCTTCTCAATCTCCTCTGATGAACCATCTTCTGATACCGCCTCAACCACAGGCGATAGTTTCCGAGAGACTACTGACAAGCCATCTTTCTCCACCCCCACAGTGCTCTTCAACACCCCACAAAGAGTAGCAGATGACTTTTTGGCTGGAGACATTTTAGCAATTGATTTGAGAAATGTCTTGGTAAACCATGTTGCATATTCTTCTCTAGAATCAACCCGATATGGTCGTATACAAAATTATTCTACTCTACTTTCCAAAAGCTTTGTTCTAACTACTTGGGGTCAGTAGACTGTCAGCTACCTAGCACAGCCTCTTTTTATTGGCTCAGGAATGACTGGCGGAAAATAAGACACTAGGCAAAACATAGGTAGAGTTTTGGTCATGCACAAATATTTTCAATTTATTATTAATCATTGGTTCCCTAGTTTTTATCTAATAAGCTAGCCACACTAGCACATAACCATACTTAAAAATAAGATCAATTTATTTATGAGAATAATTATTGTTTTTGAAGTTTGAAATATCTTCTGTGTTACATCTCGTTTTTAACATTTCTACAACTCTAAGAAGGTAATGATTGTTAACAGTTTATATTGCTCTCTGCTTCTTCTTGTCATTTCAGCCTTCTGTTAGAAAGCAGCACAATTCGGGCTACAAGCACAAGGTGCGTTCTCTGTGTTTCTAAAAGTTTAATGCTGCTCATCATTTTGATATTTCTTATTCTGTACAGGCAAATGTGCGAACCTATTATCAGCAATTTGAGGAACAACAAAGCCAAAGTTTACTTGACCAGAGGATCAAGGAACATCTCGGGCAAACAGGAGCGTACCCACAAGTTGGTGTTGCTTACAACCAACTGAGACCCCATTTTCCTGTTCTACCTCATCCTGTATTGCCGATTGCAGGGAACACACACATACCTGTGAATTCACCATTACCCATAGGATTTAGGCCTCCAGTTTTGCCAAGACCGCCTACTGGCACACAAGGTAAAATAGAACTTTACGGCTTTGAACTTCTTCATCTGCGCCTCATCTGAGTGTTAACTTTCCTAGTACATATTTGGTGCTTGCACTAATCCATGTGTATATGCATTTGCAATTAGGCTCTAAGATCTGTGATATTTAATTTTATCAGTATGATTAAAATTTGGAACTTCAAGTATTACATCTGTGGATTCATTTAAGGAACAGGGAAGTGTATTACGGTTCTAATTAGTATTTTGAAAAGAAAGATCCATTCGGCCAGTCAAATGATTTAATTTTGGGCTCTGACTTATGTAAAAATCCTGGGTCAGACCAACTAACTAGGTCTGTACTCGAATGCATTTTTGAAGGAATGTGTATTGGCATTTGGCAGTGTAAAAACTAACACCGTTAATTAATCTAGGTAGGTGCCACTGCTTAGTTGACACAATCGAAGAGAAGTTTAGAAAGAGGAGCCACAAAAAATAATAATAATAATAATAATAATAATAATAATAATAATAATAATAATAATAATAAATAAATAAATAAATAAATAATGATAGTACATTAATCGAAATTCATATAGTACTTGATAATTCGAAAACATAAAATACGGATATTAAGGGTCCTTTTGGTGACGAGTCCTGTTTTGCATTTTTTATTTTATGTGAAGTAGAAACAGTAATATATATATATTTTTTTGTCGTGATTATTTCGAAACAAAAAACATGTTTGGTAATTAATTTGTTGCACATGTTTCATAAAAAAAATGTTTGAATTATTTTTTAAAATGGTATTTACATTATGTTGGTTTTTTTTTTAAAAAAGCTCATTATAGTTGTTCAACTACAATAACAAATACAAGCGAAGAAAAAAGAAAAAGAAAATAAGAAGAAAATATACGAGAGAACTTTGAAGGGAAAAAATAAAAGTTTGATTGAATAAAAAGAATACAATTTTTTCTGAAGAGAATTTTAGAAAATATATATATTGAAGAAGAGTAAGAATGAAAAGAAAGATAAAATTAGCCCTATTTGGCCTCGTGGAGCTTTTCAGGGATGCGTTCCCCTTTTGAACGCCTCTTTAATACAATATTGCGTGTAAAAAAAATAAAAAATAAAGAAGATGAAAATGGTCTTATAACAAATTGTTAAATGATACATTTGCGCATGTATTATCCTTTCATTGGATTAAATTACTTGCAAGCCGTTTACCTCATGTCTTTCTATGTGAGGGTAAAATTGGAAGTTAACTCATTGATATTGCATCCAATAAAACGGATGAATTATAAATCTCCAAAATAATAGATAGTAATATTGCAGATAGAGCCATTGAAACACCCATCAAAGGAGTTGTTCCCCAATTCAAATCTTATTAGCTTTGGCAGACCCATGCATTAAACACTGCAGCAAATAGTATAAGGATAAAAGAAGTTATTTCACATGCCTCCCTTAATGTGTTTGGCCTCCCAACCTTAATAAGATCTAAATGTAATTAACGCACATCTAGTAGGACTCCAAACCTCCAGGGGTGTAGGTGTGATTTACCCTGAATATAATTTATCAAAAATTCTAATTACCTAATTTTTATTAAAAATACTATCTAGTGTCTAAGTGCCTGCAAGCCAACTGGTAGTCTTTATTCATTTGTACCAGAAACATTTGACCTTATTTTTCGTATATTTGTTTGTTCTGATGTAATAATACCTGCAACAATATCTTATTCTCTAATGTATATAACTTTCACAGCAAAAGTCTTCTAATTCTGTAGCTTTGTGGTGGCTCTTCTGTATAATGTTTTTCATATTATTCACAGATCGTTAGTTATCATGTTTCTGTTTGGATATTGTGGATTTGAAGTTTTGTTGCTTTTGGTAGGTTATGTGTCTGCTCCTGTCATGCCACCAATGGTTGGGCCACCTGGTGCTCCTCCTTCCTATCCCAGTCAAGTTAATGGTCTTCCAAGGCCTCCGACTGTGAATCCCCCGACAATGGTTCCAGGGAGCACATCAGTGGTGACACCAGCTGTGTATCAAACCAGTCCACCGGTGCCAACATCTGGAAGTTTTGATAGTTTCAACGTGAATGCTGAACCTATTGAAGCTAATCACTAGTTCGTCGAAGATGGTGCGTTTTCTTCTGTGTCTCACAGAATAATATATAACTGAAAGTACAATTGCATCATGACAAGGTGCATAGGATATGAATTTTTTTTTCTTTGCTTGTAACTTTCATTCATGTTTTTTTTTTTTTAACTTACAGAATTGAAATGTACAAAAGAATGTATTTTCATAGATTGGGCAGTGATCATGGTCCCCGGGGGATCATCCTAGGTGGACTTGATTTCCCCACCCCCACCCCCTTACATGATAGATGAAACTTCTTCAAAGAAACGGTGATGCTAGAAATATAAAGCATAAGGATATATATATAGAACTGGATAAATTTGTCTAAAGAAAAGGAGGTACAGACATAAAATTAAATAAATAAATTAAAATTAAAATGAAGGAGCCCATAAGGACTTCAAGGCACCATGGTACAGGGGGGTCTGTTTGATTTTTGAAACTGAATCCAGAACTGAACTGAAATAGGTCATTAACTGTAACCTAAAACTGAACTTTTGAAATACAAAACCAGATTACATTGAAACGATGAAAACTTGTTTTAGCTCAGGCTGATTCCAATTTTTAACCATAACTGTTTTAGGTTTCTAGGCGAATAGTAGAGGGTACAATTGGTATGCTAGTAGACTCCTAAAGCAGCTTTAGGCTATGTTTGGTGGGGTGGGTTTGAAGGGGGAGGATAATATTAGTTATGAGGGAAATGGAATGGAAGGATAATTTTAGTCTCCTATCGTGTTTGGTTGATTATTGAATGGAAAAGAAAGGGAAGGATAATAATCATATTTGGGGAAAGAAAGGGAAGGATAGGAAGGAGAATTATTTTAATAAATTTACTATTATGCCCTTTTATATTTTAAAATATAAATTTATATGTATATATATATATATATATATATTTGTCTCCTATATAAAGGCCCATGGATCGGCCACCAGAAAATGAAATAAAAATGTAGGGCAAATCATTTCAGCCTCCATCTCTATTCTCGTTCTCAACTTTGAACTTGCCCTCTCTCTCTCTCTCTCTCTCTCTCTCTCTCTGCAACTGCAAATACAAGAATCAAAAGTTCAAAACCCATATATTTCAGTTTATATATTTGTGTGCAAGAATCAAAACTTTAAAACCCATTTCGGCATCATTCAGATTGTTCAAAAAATCAAAACCCAATTTCAGATTGTTCAAAAAATCAAATCCCATATCGATTTTTCAGTTTCGATCGCCCGCTGTTCCAATTCGGGTTCGCCGTTCGCAAGCTTCAGCCGCTGGCCCTATTTCTCTTAACTCTTAAGCTTGCCCCCCTCTCTCTCTGCAACTGCTAAATCAACTAATCAAGGTCTGTAATTCTTGTTTTGCAAACTAAATTCATATGTAATCAAGGGCAAAATTGGCATCTGAAATCACACACTAATCCTCTTTTTCCCTTTCCCTTCATTTCCTCCCATTTTTGGGAGGTTAAGAAATTTATTGTTGAAGCCTTGTGTTAACCCTCCAAACCCTTCCCTTTCCTTCCAACAATTTTTGCCAAACACAAATTTTTAATCCCCCTCCATCACCTTCCCTTCCCTTTCCTCCCTTTGCCATTGCACCAAACTGACCCTTCGTGAACAGATTAGCCCAACAGCAAACTGGCCATGTTGGGGGTTATGTTTATAGGATGGTGAAGGTGTATGAAACTTTGAGGATGCAATCGATATGGGAATACTGACTCGACTCATTTCCTAATAGGCCTAGTTGTTGTAGGAGTATATAAGAGAATATCATCATCATCATCCTTACCTTAATTCTATATGAATGGGGATAAAGAGATAATATAGTGTGGGTTTATGTAAAATCTCATAATAGAATGTTCAGATGCAGAGAGAGAAAATAAGACTCATATCTGAAACAGATCTGTTTTTTTTTTTTTTTTTTATAAGTAAAATGTATTAGAAGGCGTTCAAAAGGGGAACGCGTCCCAAGCTATACAAAAAACTGAAACTATGATCTCAAGGAGCCCAAAAAGTCCACAATATCCTCAATGGAGGAAAAATCTCTCCCCCAACCCCAACAAAAAAGAGTACAAATAATAGAGAATTTCAACACCCCAATGAAGGATTCCTTCCCATCAAAAGATCTTCTATTCCGCTCTTTCCAAATGCTCCACCAAACACAAAAGGGGGTTACCCTCCAGAAGACTCTTGCCTGAGCCCCCACCCATTGGCCCCTCCAAATATCCAGCAATTCCCAAGATGTCCGAGGCATAACCTAATGAATACCAAACAAATCAAAAATGAGACTCCAACAATCATGAGCCACAGGACAATGCAGTAACAGGTAATCCACTGACTCCCCATTCAACTTACAAAGACAATACCGATTAACAATAATATGTCTTCGCTTCCTCAAGTTAGCCAAAGTCAAAATCTTGCTCCAAACTGCAGTCCACACGAAAAAGGCCATCCTAAGAGGTGCCTTGGACAACCACACCGTCTTCCACGGGAAGGAAGCGCCATGAAAACCAGAAAGGCACACAAAAAAAGACCGGACTTGGAACATCCCCTGAGAAGAGGGCACCCAAAACAGGGAGTCAACACCAGTGCCCTCCACCTCCTGTCTGTACAAGAGAACCAACAAGCCAGTGACATCATCCAACTCCCAATCCTGAAAAGATCGCCGGAATCGCACATTCCAAGATAACCTCTCGCTATCAAGGCGATAGCAGTTAGCAACCATAGCATGTTTGTCAACAGCAATCCTAAACAGCCTTGGAAACAAAAGAGCTAGAGGCCTATCCGCGCACCAGGGATCCTCCCAAAACCGGACAAACCTTCCATCCCGAACTTTGAATCTAACATGTTTGGAAAACTTGTCCCATCCTTTTCCAATGGCCCTCCACACCCCTACTCCACTAGCAGACCTGACTAGCCTTGTTGACCACCACCCTCTCTCCTCCCCAAAGCGACAGGAAATAACCCTTCATTTTTACAAATAAGACCTTAGGAGAGTTTGACCTACATCTTGTGATGGTAGTTGATGCTAATGACGCCAACATGTTGGCTGATAACATTGGTGGGTTTTGTTGATGGTGATTTGCAAATCACCATTCCTATTTATTCTAATTATGTAAAATGATAGTAATAATTCGACTGTGTAGGACTGGCCTGCTTGGTTTGTAACTCTGAGAACAGTTTTCTGAAACAAAAAACTAAAAATAGAAAACTGTACAAAAAATTATGCTTGGTTCACTTGTCTGATAATTGTTTTTTGAAAACTGAGTTATAAAAAGCTTGTTTTCAGAGAACTGTCTTTTATAACCCCTCCGTCCCAAATAAGTGTCATGCTTTCATTTTTTGTCTATCCCAAAATAAATGTTCACTTCCCTTTTTCAAACAATATATTTCACATCTTTCCATATATGTCATTAGAGTTTAAAATTTCAAACTTGAATATTCAAAATTTACAAGGGCAATTTAGTAACTTTCCAGGGAGACAATCCATGTCCCACATGTCCCTTAAAAATTGCTACTCCCCATAAGAGACACTTAAATTGGGACGGAGGGAGTAGTTCTCTGAATTCTTGAGAACTGTTTTCAGAATTACAAACCAAGCATGCCTAGTTTCTGACGCTCACCATTGCGTAACTGAGATGGAAGGGAGATGAAAGAGAATTCTTAGTTTGCTGTTTGATGACTAGTTACGGTAAGGGAAAGAAAGTCTTGAAGAGGGAGACAATGATGAATAACAACATTAATTTGGGTTTGGGCTGATAGTCTTACGAAAATTAGGGTTAGGGCCAGGTTGGTCCGTGGTAACCTTAAATCGGGTTAGGACTTACTCAACTTGTACCCCTAGCATTAATAGTGATCAATACTCCAGTCCAAGGCAAATTTTAATTTAAGAACCACATGACCTGCACTGATAGACCTATACCCAAGTCAAGTTTGAGAAGATAACTAAGTTGTTTTGTGGTCTAAAAGATTAAGTCTGAAACATGTGTGTGTTTCTTGTAAAGCAACCAAACCCAGATAGTCTTGTGTCTCTCCCACTTGTGTACACAAATTTGGGATGGTCTAGAGTACATTGACAGAATAAAATGTGTAGGTAATCTTTTAGTGATATGGCAATGCTAGTAGACAATTAACTTTGTGGGTTGGTTTACCCAACCTATCAACTCGCCGTCAAACTGGTGCCGGTTGGTTAGTTTGCTGGTTTATTCGTTGTTCACCTTTGGTTATTGGGGTTAAATTGAGAACGCTTCCCTGTTATGTGGGAAGCCAGCCTGAGTTGTCCAGAATTTAGAGATGAGGATCCAGCAGAACTCTCGATTCGTTTTCTTTATGTTTTTTCTTTTCTTTAATGATTTATAATTTTATCCTAGTAATGAATATTTAAAGTTTTCAATGCATCTTTTTTAAGCATTAGTGCAAAGGAGTATGAGTGCAAATTGAGAATACAAACAGACATCCAACATTTTTCTCTTTTGTTTTCTAAACTAAGAATCCTGCCAACAAATGTGATAAGTTTTCATCATGGCGCTTTTCTGAATATTATTTTTCATTTGTTCTTGATGTGTGTTTTAATGACAATGCTATTCTTACAGGTGACAAAGGAGCGGACGAGAAGCATAACCTGCGGTGCAACTCCCGTGGTAGATTCTTCTTTTGCAATGCTTAATTTCGGGGTCATTCTAGTTTGCGATGTGCATGAACTTCTCCTGCGCCTCTAAATGCAGGGGACAGTCATGTAATTAAATCATGAAAACTGTTTTAGTTTCTGTTGCAAAGGATGCTAATGAGGGGGGCCGTTTGTTTAAGTTTCTTGTTTGTGATTTAAGCTTAAACATGAGTGACGTTCTTTTAAATTTGGAGAGAATGACATTTTTTTTTTTTTAATTTGCATTTTCTTCTTCATCTTCTGAATTTGTTCTCTCATTTACTGGTATGGCCACCTGATGGCTTTGGATCATTGGGACAATGAGCATAACAACGATGATTTCTTAAGGTATTTAGTCGGCTCTTGTTCATTTCGTCCCCGTAACTATATAATTATGTGTGAGAAATTTTGTTTTCTCGATAAATATGTGTTTGATTTTGGAAACTAATTCTTGACGATGACTTAATATTGTTGGACATTTTTTTTTCCCGTGTGATGTGCTGAATATCGCATTGCACTGTTAGTCTGAGAGGGAAAAATATAGTACTATACATTAAAGATCTTCACGGCGAGCATAGGAAGAGTGGGTGTTACCAATGGATATAATTGTTATGTTTATTTTTTTTTACACTTAAATCATATCTAATGGTGACCGTATTTTCCTCACCGGTGAGATCATTATTATATGTCTATATATGTGTGGATATATGTCTAAACTTGTATATCAGATGCAGTGTATTTGTTACAGTTACGGAAGTGATGTATTTGATATTTTATCACAATGTAGTTTCTTCTTGTCCTAAAAAATAAAGCTATTAAGTCGGAAAAAGTTTGTGTGCAACTGATTTGGCAGTATAAGGTGCATAAAAGTTATACCACAAGAGAATTATCTTCAAATTACTCATGGATGGTTGTATGTCCGGTCCAGTAAAAGTCTCGTAATTTATCATTTAATGGAGTCAAAGTCTAAATAAATGGTGCTAATGGCTCATATTTATCATTTAATGGAGTGAAAGTCTTGTAATTTCAAAAAAATGAAGTTGATCAAAATGCTAATGTGAACATATAATAATGCTATTTACCCTCAATAAGGTATCACTTTTAGGCGCGCAGGTATCATTTTTTGTGCTTAGAAATATCACTTTTTATGTTTTTGTGCTCAGAAATATCACTTTTTATGTGCAACACATAAATATCAAAACCCGTGTTGGTTAGATCAAAAGCATCGAAGCCTGAAGTGGGGCCCAACCATGGATCCCACTTTAGCCCATGAAGGGCCTTGATTCATTCAGTTTAATGCACCGCGCCAAAGTTGACTTGGACGTCAATGGTGGAGTCACGGACATGGAAATGACTTAAAAGTTGAAATGGTCAATGCAAGGAGCATTCAAAGTGAAGAGAGGTATGAAGGCTGAAGGCTTTGTTGATCGGTGATGGGCCATATATAATTGCAATTTGGGCCGGTCTAATTATTGAATCACAATACTAGTTAATCCAGGCCGGTTCAAGAAATGCTTAATTGCTTATTAGTGACTAAGAGCATCGCCATCCGAATTTTCAAATCTTACGTATGACGTTACAAATTGACGTATAAAATTTTGACATATTTATATATAAGAACTCCACAATTTATTAATATTTTGGCATGAGACCCATATATTAAAATAATAAAAATAAGTAATTTGGCATACAATTTTTTCATAGCCAAATTTAACGTATTGATACTATGACAAATGCCAGTTAAATATCAATTGGAGAAGTTTTTCGTGTCAAAACTGGCCGTTGAAGGAGCTACCTAAGATTTGACATACCAACAGTGGTTAAAAATGTTAACGGGGCAGAGTTGGGGCAAAGTTAATTCCATCCTGTCATACCAACTCCATTCCTATTCTGAAACGAATTTATAATTAATATACCATCCCCAAATTTCAAAAGATAAATACCAACTCCACTCGGCATAAACTGACGGTTTAAAACTTATATCTTATTAAAATATATATTCATCACTAGTAGATAAGACAATTTCACTTCTTGATACAATACAATAAATCTCAGATGGATAAGCATGAGTCCAGTCCACAAGGCAAAAGGATAAGAGCATCATTTCAGTTTTTCTGAGTTGGCATCATCAAAGCAACCTTTTTTTCCCTTTAATTCATCTGAGTTTAGTTTTTTTTTTTTTTTTTCGGGCCCTACTATTAACTAGTCAGCATTTTTAAAAAAATCTAATTTTATTAATACCGGAAAATATTTTCGTTTTAGAGTTATGAAAATGTATTTTCAGGAGACCAAACCAATGAGGCCCTCTCCTTTTTCACATTTCGTGATCTCCAAAGGCTATTAACTATGTATTATATTTTTCAACTGAACTCTCCAAAGGCTATTAACAATTTCATAGTCCACCTTGAAATTATTTTTTGAGAAGAATAGTATGTTTTTAGGCTGATTCGATTTTCAACCGAATAGATGTGGATGGAATCTACTTTATTTAACCGTTGAATCAGTGTAAAAGATATTTTTCTTTTAATATATAAAACACGAATACTCTATCTACGAGTGTCGTGACGGACACGGCTAAAAGTGTCTTGAAAATTGAATATTTTGAACACGGCTTGGACATAACAATGACATATTTTGAATATTTTCAAAACATGACGTCGTGATTTTGTAATTTTTTTTTAGAATAATGAAATTTAAATTATATTATGGACCAATATAGAAATTAATATAAAATTTAAAATAATAAACATTTAATTCTAAACTCGAAATTAGTGCTTGCATTAATGATTATGTGAATAAAATAAATAAAATTATTTTTCTATATATAATAAAATATTATATTATTATTTTTCGACGTATTCATGTTGAATCAGTATCTTATTCTTTAAAAGATTATATCTATATCGTATCATTATATCTATATCGTGTCCTACCGGTATTGTCGGCTTGAACCTTAGGCAGTTGCCTAAGGCCCCAGCCAATAGGAAGGCCCAAAAATTTAAAATTTCCTTATAACTTATACTATAATTATTTCCTAATATTGTTAAACTCTAATAAATATTAAAAAAATTATATTAGGCTTCAAAAATTGATATCCTAAAATAACTTCTTCTTTTTTCTTTTCTTTTTTTTTTTTTTTTTTTTTTTTTTTTGCCCCTTTCCACTTATTTCGATTTTATATTAGGTCTCAAATATTTATATCCCTAAATAACTTATTTTTTTCTGTTGTCCCTCCCTCCTCATTCATTTCGATTTTTTATTAGGCCTCAAATATTTATATCATAAAATAACTTCTTCTTTTTTTCTTTTTTCTCTCTCCTCCCTCATTCCGTTGAACTCTAATTGATACATAAATTTAATATTTGCCCAAAAAATTTACATCATTATATGACTTTTTTTCCCTCCCTTTTTCTCATTCATCCTTTACAATAAAATCCTAACTAATATAGAAATTTAATATTAGGTCCAAAAATTTGTATCATAAATATTTTTTTCCCCTCTTTCTTTCTCTCTCTTTCACGTTTTTTATACCAACACTAAAAATATTTTAGGGTAAGTTACACCAACAGTAAAATATTAAATATACGTTGTTGTTTGGAAAAATGGTGAAAATTTTTCATATTCTTTTTTTTTATATATACATTTTATCTTCTTCTTTTTAACAAATCTTCTCCTCCTATTCTCCGTACAAGTTTACAGTTGTTATGAACATATTTTTGTTCTATTAAAAAGTTTGTAAAAGTATTGAATTTGGGTTTTCTACATCGGGTTTACTGGTTTTTTTTCTTTAATTATTTTATAATTTTATTAACTTTTGTTATTATAAATTTGTGTGTATATATATTTGTATATTTTGTTTTTGAATTGTGATTAATTTTATTTATATAATTAAAAAAGTTACATTTTATTTTTCGTCTAAGCCCCAAATTAAATTGAACCGCCTTGTTATTACATGATCGGATTCGTACATCTAGCTTTTGATAAACAAACCGTACAATTATTAGTGAGTGATATGAACTTATGAAAGTTGACAACCCGTAGCCCGCGAAGTTTCTTGATTGTTTGTATGTGCAACACATCATACATAAGCATGGTTTTTTATTTTTTCTCTCTATTCTTTGCTCCATCAGATTATTATAATTGTGAAATAAGTCATGCAAATTCTTTACCTAGTATTTGTGAAAACTTGTCACAATAATTAAATAAATAAATAATTCTCTCTCAATATTTATATAATTCTACAAATAGCCGCAAAACGAGATCCATGGTTTAGGTTAAATAGCTCTAATTTTACTTGTGATTTGTCTCAAACTAAAGGTTAGACAATTAAAGTCATGGTCGACGATAATCTTTGCAGGTTCGAATCCTCTTCTGTATGGGATTCAAATATGTTTGTTCGGTACATCAAAACTATACAAAATTTTAAGTATAGGTGTCTATCATTTTAATAATAGCATCGTTATCTGGACAGCTCAGGATTCCTTTGAACAAAATTCCCTCCGTGGGAGAGAAAACAGTCGCAGTGTCGTTTCAATATTATCATCATTATCTTATTGAATTGGCTCAAATAATTGTTTTTCTTGCCTCCCAAGTGATAAGGAAAGTGCTTTTGTCAAATCACAAACAATGTTGTTTTTTATTTTGTTTGAAAGGTCACATGCGATGTTGTTGCAATAAGGACATGAACAAGGTCTACACCAAAATATACCAAGGTTTCTTGCGACTTACTTAACAATATATATATATATATATATATATATATATATATATATAATCTTTTTAGGTAATTAAGATCTACATGATTTGTTATTTAGAAGAAAAAAAATTTACTTTTAGAAAACTAAAAATAAAAAAACCATACAAAATTATTTGAGCAAACTAATAAACTATAACCAAAGTACCAAAACTATACTTACAAGAAAGCAAACTAATAAACGACAAAACTATACAAACAGAGTTAGAGAGGAAAACCAAAAGAAGTTCGATGAAAAGGACAAAACACTTCCAAAAAAAAAACAAGAAACTACAGAAAAAGAAAAAGAAAAGGAAAAAAAAGTAAATTCAGTGCTTTGTTTTGTTAAAAAGAAAGAGACAAAGGAAAGTAAAGGTTAATGTAAAATATTATTATAAATTTATTATATGATTTGAATAAAAAAATTATTTACCTCAATTATTGGCATTTATATGGCACAAAATAACAAGTATAAATAGATTTGTCTCTAATTAATTTTTTAGGTCCACTTGCACAAATAAAAGCAATGTGAAAATCTAAGCAAATAACCTTTTAGGACATTTTAAGAGATACAAATCATTAATACCATTTTTTTAAAAAATATATATTTTAGATAGAC